ATATATATATATATATATATCATGTTTGAATGCTTCTCCACAACAAGTAGTTTAAACTTTGAGAAAGTATGAAAAGTATGAGGACTTTTTAACCAGTAAATTAGTTTTCTAATGATCAAATAAACTAATCAATTTGTAAATTTAAAACAAAGAAAAGCATGAACATTAAAGTAGCTACTGCCCATTCTTCCATGATAGATAAGTTTTAAGTGTATAATTTCTGTTACATCTTTTACACTCGGATCATTGAGATTTTTGTTTAGATGAATCTTGTTCCAGCGCCTACATACATTCATACACACACACACACACACACATATATATACTTTGGATCATACGAGACAAGACTGTTTTCGTGAGATACGTCAGACAACATTTTTACGCTTGAAACTTCACAGCAAAACACTCTGAAGGTAATCTTCACAATGTTTTTGCTATGAAGGTTCAAATTATTTACTTTCACAATATTTTGTTGTGAAATTTCAAGTGTTAAAATGTTGTCTCACGAAAACAGATTGTAGTCACACCCAAGTCTCTCTCTCTCTATATATGTCATCTTACCAGCCGGAAACATTATAATTAATTAATCTATTAATTTCATATAAACGAGCTCAAAAACCTAACTTTTTGTTCCGACGTTTGTCAATTCCTTGGTCGTTTTCCGATCTTCACTTTAGCATTTGTACGTTTATCTTTGTTTCTCTGTAATGTTAATTATATAATCAATTCTTCAAATACAATAAATAATTAACGAATATATAATTATATATGAAGTAGGACAAAGACTTATATAATTCATCTAAGACTAGGTCGTTCATTAGTGGCCATGTTAGCTGGTGCTCTCTCTCTCTCTATATATATATATATATATACACATATATTATATATACTCCTATATCCCGACGGCCGACACACATAGGTCAAGAAAATACAAGTTGACATGTTTAGAAATCGACCTGCCAACAATTAGCAGCCTCTGTAGGTGTCTATTTAATACTATTAGTATCTATAAATACATGCACCCCATTCATGCAAGAACATAACTTAAAGAAACCAATTCTATGCATGATCTATCTAGCTAGGGTTTATAATTAATACCATCGGCCTGCACTAATTATGAAGATGAGCTTCCAAGCTCTAGGGTTTCTTCTTTCTACTCTCGCAATCATCGCCCATTCACAAGCTGCACTCCTTCAATATACGTTCGTCGTAAGTTTCCCTTTTCGATCTTGCACATACTGATCTTTTGATTTAAGTTACGATTATATGCATGAAATAACTGGTTATATGTTATAACTTTGATTTCAGGTTCAAGAAACAAACTACACCAGGCTATGCACTAGTAAGAACATCTTGACCGTTAACGGAGAATTCCCGGGTCCAACCATCACCGCTCGCAGAGGCGACACTGTCATCGTTGACGTTATCAACGGGGGCGACCACAATATCACAATTCACTGGTATATATAAATAAATATTCGAAAGAAACTGTAATATACATTGTTTTAGGGTTAGGGTTTACTGTGTAACTAAATTCAATTTTGTTAAAATTGCAGGCATGGAATTAAACAACCAAGGTACCCATGGTCGGATGGGCCGGAGTTTGTGACTCAATGCCCGATCCAACCGGGGGCCAATTTCAGCCAACAGGTGTTGCTCTCCGATGAAGAAGGCACACTATGGTGGCACGCACATAGCGACTGGTCACGTGCCACCATACACGGCCTATTCGTCATTTTACCTAGGCTCGGAACTACTTATCCTTTTACTCAACCTGATGGAGAAGTCCCTGTCGTTTTAGGTTATTAATTCACACTCTTTCTAATTTTTAGTTTCAAATGGATCCAATTTATCGTAATATTTTTCAATTTATATGAGATTTTATAGAATTAAACCATGAAACTAATTATAAAAATTCTTTTAAAACCCATTTACATTTTGTAATTAAAATAAAATGGAAGGGTTATTTTTGTTTATTTCGATACGTGCAAAATGTGTTTATTCGTCGATCCCAAAAACATTTGTTTTTAGAAAATTAAATTTGTTTTTATTTGATTTATTAATATAATCATCAATTCTTTTTCGATACTAATAAAAAATATTAATTTAAAAAGAAACTAACAAGGAGAAAAATTGCAGGTGAATGGTGGCAAAACGATATACAAACGGTGTTTGAAGAGTTCAGAGATGGCGGAGGAGATCCTGCCAACTCCGATGCACTTACCATCAACGGCCAACCAGGCGATCTTTACAATTGCTCCGCTTCAGGTAATCTTCACAGTGTTTTTGCTATGAAAGTTCGGTTTTTTTACCTTCACAACGTTTTATTGTGAAGTTTCAAACGTAAAAAATGGTCTCACGGATTTCATGTGAACCCAACCCATAAGAGAACCATCGAATCAAATGTTATTTTATACTAAGATCACGTATAAAATACATTTTATCATGACCTTGCTATGTGACTTTGTCACACGGCCTCTGCACATTTTTTTAACCGTTAATGTGTATGTAATTTGATCATTTTGTTATTTTCTTTAAATAAGTTTCTAATTTTTTTAATAAATTTTTGCATTAAATTGATTTGTAGAAACAACGAAGATAAGTGTTGATCAAGGAAAGACATATTTACTGCGAATGGTGAACGCCGCCATGAACAACCTGGCCTTCTTCGCCGTCGCCAACCACACGCTCACCGTCGTCGGAACCGACGGTGCCTACACCAAACCATTCAGATCCAATGTCATCACCATATCTCCCGGCCAAACCATAGACCTCCTGCTACAAGCTAACCAACCTCGCGACAACTACTACATGGCAGCCAAGCTGTTTAGCGGCCAAAGTAGCGCTGCATTCGATAATACCACCACCACCGCCATCGTTCAGTACACCGGAAACTTCACCCCCTCATCCTCTTCGCCGGTTTTCCCTTTTCTTCCGGTGTTCGATGATCGGAACGCATCTGCTAACTTCACCGGAAGTTTACGAAGTTTAGCCAGCGCTGAACATCCCATCGACGTTCCATTGACGATCAAAAGGACCCTTCTTTACACCCTTTCCATCAACACATTACCGTGCGCCGTCAACGCGACTTGCGAAGGACCAAATGGCCGGCGGTTGTCGGCGAGCATCAACAACATTACGTTCGCTATGCCAACAACGTCGGTTCTCGGAGCTTACTACCGAGGAATAAACGGCGTATATGGAGATGATTTTCCAGATGTTCCGCCATTGAAATTCAATTACACGGCCACTGGTTTGAACAGGTCACTGCAGACTCCAGATATTAGGACGGAGGTGACGATGTTGAAGCATAACGAGACGGTGGAGTTAGTTTTTCAGGGAACAAACTTGGTGGCCGGAATCGATCATCCGATGCACCTTCACGGGCACAGTTTTTACGTGGTGGGTTCGGGATTCGGTAACTTTAAGAGATCAAGAGACTCGCTAAATTATAATCTGGTAGACCCTCCATTGATGCAAACCATTGCAGTTGCTCAGAATGGCTGGACCGCCATTAGATTCAAGGCCGATAACCCTGGTAATTAAGCTTTAATTATATATTTTCTGCAATTTCTATTAATTATAAATTATTAATTTAATTAAAACTTAAAAAAATTATCAACTCTACAAAAAGGTTGCTTTTTTAATTAAAATATTAAAAATCATTCAAATTGTTATTTAATTCATGGGATGTTTGTATAGTATATTCTGTGTGACATAATTAATGCACCTTGGAATGTTTATTTTATAGACTTAAAACTTCACAGCAAAATACTGTGAAGAAGGTAAAATTCGGTCTTTTTTACTATCCCAACATTTGGTTGTAAAGTTTCAAGTGTAAAAATCGTGTCTCATGAAAACAGTCTTATCTCACGTGAACCCAACTCTTATTATAATTATCTTTTTTAACTTTTTTTGGTATCAATTTTTCCAGGAGTATGGTTCATGCACTGCCATTTGGAACGTCATGTGAGTTGGGGAATGGGAATGGTGTTCATAGTACGAAACGGGAAGAGCGCCAACGCTAGGGTTTTGCCCCCACCTCCCGACATGCCCCCTTGTTAAAACACTTGTTTTTGTGAATTATATGATCCGTACATGTTTCTAATTTGAAACATTTTTAGGTTTGTATTTAAGAAAACACGAGTGTTCTTCGATTTTTTTTTTTCTGAGTTCCGTTCTCAATTCTAATAATTTGGTTCATTAGTTACCAAATGTAAACCCAATTAAGCTTCTGAGTGTATTATTCTTAATAAAAGTTTGCTTCCGATCATTAAAATAGTGTTCGTCTTAATAGTTATTAAACAATTATAGGCAGTTTATCTGATCTTTATCGGGTAAACATTTATCAGTAAGAGTCATTACACTTATTTACCTTGTTTGGGAAAATTTACGACCAACAAAATAAATTATTCGTAAACATCTCTTACTTACCTAGTAAATGTCAATTGAATAAGAGTTTTTTCTCTCACTTGATAGATAAATATATCCGAGTTAACCACAAGGGTGGTGCCTGATTGGTTTGAGCTTGACTCCAAAGGTCAAAAGTACTAGGAGGTCTCAGGTTCAAATCCAAGGAGGAATAAAAATCCCCTTGTGACCACGAAGGTTCAAATGCGGTGACTCCGGACTATCTGCAAAGCAGGTGGACGCCCTGGGATTAGTCGGCTTACATAACGAATTGGATATCTCGAAGTTACGTCAACCATTTATTAGAAAGATACAATAATACATTAAATATTGACATATTGTATAAAACAAGTCTGTCATTATGTCTTTGTCTAATGGACAATATTAGTTTGTTAATTATTTTTCCGACCCTACCTTTTTTTTATTAACCTGGATATTCAACCTGCTATGCAAGCTGACTAATCCGAAGATGATCAGCTGCTTCACGGGTAGCCCGGAGTTATTGCATTTGAATCCTTGTTGCCACAAAAGAATTTTTATTCCTCCTTGGATTTGAACCTACGACCAATTCATAATTAAAATTTACATGTATTGTAATATTACAATTAAATATTTCATATTCAAATATCAACGATATCTTAAGCTTTTTGTACATAGAAGTTTGTAATGATTTTAAAAATGATAAATAACATAAAATTTGTATTAAGCAAAGTGTTAAATATGATGACATTGTAGTTATAAAATTGGAGCAAAATATAAATAGTTATAAATTTATCTGTGTGGATATATGCAAATTACAGATTGGGTCCCTCAAACGAGATGATTACAACTACAATCATTATGGTTTTGTTTTTGTTAGGGATTGAGTCTCTCATCCGAACATCTGAAACCTTAGCTCTGGTAAATCAATGATACCTATGTCCTTTTAATTTTTCTCTTGAAAGAAAATATAAATTTCTATGTAGTTATATATATATATATATATATATATATATATATGTATGTATGTATGTGTATATATATATATATGTGTGTGTGTGTATGTGTATATGTATATATGTATGTATATGTATAGATAGAGAGGGAGGGGGTAAATCATTTTGCTAACCAATGAATTGGCACTAACTTTACAAAAGTGTAACATTCTATTTTCCATCATAGCATTAGCATTTCTACCAAATATTGTGCATTACCTATTCGTAATGTCGTACCATACTTGTGAGGATGTGAACATATATACAGGCTCGTTCCTGACATTTTATGGGTCCTGGGCGAACGTAAAAACAGGGCCCACTACAAGAAACAAGACTTGTAGCAACGACTTCTGTCGTCGCTAAAAGTCTTTTTATCATCAGAAAGAGTATATACCAATATGTCGTCATTATAACTTATGGTGGAAACATGTCATCGCTAAAAGTAGCATTGTCAAAGCTCACTTTTCTTGTAGTGACTCTCGGTAAGTACGAAAAAAAAAATTCAATAAATATCTTTCATTAGTATAAAATTGAGTACAAGAAATGCTAATAATTTATTGAGAAAAGAAATCTTATTTATCTTATTATAGATATATAAGAGAATACTTAATTTTTTTCTATTAACTTGGATATCCAACCCGCTATGCGAGCTGACTAATCCCAGGCAACACCTGCTTTACAGGTAGCCCGGAGTCACCGCATTTGAACCTCCATAGCCACAAGGAGATTTTTGTTTCTTCTTGGATTTGAACCTGGGACCTCCAGGCACTTTTCACCTTTGGAGCCAAGTTCAAACCAATCAGGCACCACCCTTGTGATTACTTAAATTTACGTACTTTTTATTTAGTAATTTGAAACCAAGAGTATAAAAACTATGGTTGATAAATTTTTATAAAAAGTAAGAATATTTTTAGTTCATAACAAGAAATATGTGTTATTTTGATATAAAAAGAGAATTCGTGTGAATGAAGTAATCATGAGGGTCAATGAGAGATCAATAATAAAGAAGATTATCAAAGTTTTCTAGACAATTAGACAAATGAGGATCAATAAGAATATGAAAGAAAAGATGATTCATTGGGATCTAATAAAAATAAATAATGAATTAAACATATAATATGCAATCTCAACAAATGATTGTTTGAGTACTTAAATAAAATTTTGTAGTGCGATGGAGTCCCAATGAAAGATATATAAGTCAAACAATTGATGAAAATATTTAAATTTTGTTTTTCTACTTTTTTTGCTCAACTAAAATAAGATGTTAAGATTAAAAGTTTATGGAACATGACATATATAAGAGACATTACTAAATACATTAGTAGAAAAAAATTATTGATTAATCACAAAACTATGAAACACGTCATAAATTATAAGAACAATAGATTAATTGTCAAACAATAGTAAAATATTTTATGTAAAAGCAAAAATAGATAACAATAGTCAACAAAAACAATTAGAACAACATAACCAAAAAGCAATAGCCAATAGAAGCAGAAATTGATAAAAATATCCAACAAAAATATATAGCAATAACAAACACATGATCTTAATGTTGAATTGTTGAAGCACGAAAACAGTCAATCACATAGAGATAACAATAACCAATATCATTGGACCTTGTTGAAGATAAAAAAAATTAGAGGGATAATAAACAGTAGCATATAATGAATGACCAGTTAATTTTTTTATTTTATTCTCTAATATAATTAGTTGAAATATTTTTGGACCCTTATTATGTATTAATTTTTTTTGCTTCTTATTATATGTTACAACTTTTTGGGTTTTTTTATTTCATTAAATTCTTTTAGACTACTATTGTATTTTTTTAAAGGAAAAAATTTGGGCCCCTGATATTTTTGGGCCCTGGGCGTGCGCCCGTGTCGCCCTCCCCAGGGACGGCCCTATATATATATATATATATTAAGAGAGAGAGAGAGGAGATTTACTTTGCAAACCATGTTATTTATACAAATCTCATTCAACCAATCATAATTTTTTATTTTGTTCATTTTTTTGTAATTATGAGAGGTTGATTAATCATTTTTATTGTGAAGGGTGTTAATCATGGATATTATCATCTTCATTATTTTAATTTTAGAGAAATACATGAAACAATTTTATTAAAATTTCATTAAGTATTATATGACACAATTTCATAGTCATATATGAAACAACTTTATCAAGAAAAGTATTATATGAAACAATTTGACAAGATTAAACAATGAAATCAACGGATGAGGGTGGTTTGCACGGTTTGTATAAATTGGGTGGTTTGAATTTGATCACTCCTCTATATATATAAATATGTGTGTGTGTGTGTGTGTTTTCACATCTCACAGTATTTGAAACGAAAAATGGGTATTAGGACCGTGTAAATTAACTACTACTTACAAACATAAACCAAATATAGAGATACAAAATCTATTGAGTACTATATTGGTTTAATCTTCTGTCCCAAACTTTATCAACCAATAATATTGCCTATCAATAGTTACCTTTATTACCACCTTCAGTAATACCATCTGATCCTGATCGTGATCCTGAGATAAACGTCGACAAAGAAAACAAATTATATTTCACGCGCTGTGAATTCAAGAGTTTACATAATACAACATTCATTTAATTCGAAAGATTCCATTAAAATCAAACTCATTCAAATCAATATAGTCACACTAAGGAGCCGTTTACCAAACGCTTACCCGGGTAAGCACTTACCAAGTCACATTACCTTACCGGATGAATATGGTATGAACCAAGAATCTTACCCGGTATGAGCAAGACAAGGACCAAAAGTCTTACCCGGTAAGTGAGGACAACGACTCTTACCACGGTAACCGCTTACCAGGTAAATTGATGCATACGATACTATTTTGATAGACTAAAATCTTACCCGGTAAATAAATGATAGTGTTAAATTTTATCGGTAAGCACTTACCGGGTAAGTGTTTGGTAAACGACCCCTAAATAAAATATTTAGACAACCCTTTTAACTTTCCAACCCGTTAAGAAACACCCCAAACAGATTCAAGACCAGTTTTACACAAATATTTGAAGATTGATTATCTATTTCCGTCATAAAGCAAGCCAGCTCTATTAAACTCGATTTTTGACCTATTTACAACCCAAACTACCTCATAATTAAAACATATCGATTGGGGAAGACAGTTCAATGGTTTCAGAAATATATTACCCGTCCAAATCCGAGTTACGAGTGATTTATTACGATTTTCAGCAAAAACCAAAACAACAATTTCGACCAAATCACTTAAAGGTCTAAGTCATTACTAATCTCCACACATATTTTACTTATTCCAATCTAGGTATACAGTTTCAACATTTTTTTTATTAACCTGGATATCCAACCCGCTATGCGAGCCGACTAATCCCAGGACGACCACCTGCTTTGCAGATAACCCGGAATCACCGCATTTGAACCTCCGTGGCCACAAGGAGGATTTTTACTCCCTCTTGGATTTAAACCTGGGACCTCCAGATACTTTTGATCTTTGAAGCCAAACTCAAACCAATCAGGCAGTACCCTTGTGGTTGGTAGTTTCAACATTGAACTCCCAACTAAAGAATTCATAGTAAAACTTTACCCAACTTCATACCAAAACATCATGTATAAACTCAAGATTACTGGTAAACTCAACACTCTTAACTTACTTTAATTACCAGTAAGATTGTAGTCCATCAAAATGTTATGATAGCGTACAACACTTTACCTTATCATTGCTCTTACCGGGTAAAATTATCGGCCTTTGTTAATCCGAAAAGACAAAGATCACCAATGATCTCCACAGTTACAACCACCATCCGAAAACCTATGGTATCTATTAACATCCCTAACAATAATCACTCGTTCAACCACTCGGCTAATATACTTGAACGCCTCATGACAATCCTTACAGATCCTTAGATTCTTCACGATCCTCACCGTCTTCCCCGGTGGTGCCGCCCCGGAAACCAGTCCGAACGCCACAGCCAATTTCTCGCTATGATGCCAAAGTGCTTCCCTTTTCTCCCCTTTCCCTACTTCATGCAGCATTTCATCCCAAACGGGCACGTACCCTAACTTCGATATCTTCTCCATTAACTCGGCTAATTTCGCGTAGATTTCCTCTGTTTTTTCATGTCGACGATCTCCGGCCAAAAAGACGTGAACTTGCCCACAAACTTCTATCCAACTCAACCCACCTTCCTTTTTCACCCTCCTATCTTTCATCAACTTCCTCACTTCTTGCACGTCCTCCAACTTTCCAGCACCAGAAAAGGCATTTGCAGCAATCACATAAGCCGAATCGTCTTGTGGGTCGAGTTCCTGTAACTTTTGACTCATTTCCTTGGCCATTTCAATGTTACCATGATGTGCACTGGTCGACAGCAACGCCCGCCATATTGCAGCATCGGGTTTATGAATTGGCATTGTGAAAGCAATCTTCTTTGCTTCCTCTAATTTCCCGGCTCTACCCAATGCACCCACCAAACATGTGTAGTGCTCGATCCATGGTTCCAATTTGTACTCTAATTCCATCTTCCTAAACCATCGTTCTGTCTCATCAGCCAAACCCGCGTTGCAGAAAGCTGTCATGACGGATAAAAAACTATATTGATCGGGTACGAGACCTCGATACTCCATTATTGAAAATAGTTCGGTTACTGAATCTTTGTCCCCTTGTTGTGCATAGCTCGACAACATTGCATTCCATCCTATAAGATTTAAGATCGATAGAAGTTGATCAAACACCAAACGTCCCTCGTCTACCATCCCACATTTCCCGTACCCATCTACCAAAGCCGTCCCCACAATCACATTTGAATCAAGCCCGTTAACAATCGAATGGGCATGAACCACCCTACATTGTTCTAAAGAAGCTAGTTCCGCAGATGCACGCAATGCAGCAGACACGCTATAGTCTGTAGACCCAAACCCACAAGCTCTCATTTCAGAAAAGTAAGACAAAGCATCGATAGGTTTCGAGTTCTGGGCAAGCCCAACAATAACAGAGGAAAAACAAACAGCGTCTCTGTGAGGAATTTCATCGAACACCTTTTGGGCATTGGTAGGGAGCTGAGTTTTCGAGTAAAAATGGATGAGGGCAGAGGCCGAAAAGGGTTCGCTGGCAAGGGAAAGTTTGGTAGATAGAGCATGAAGCTGGAGACCAAAAGAAAGAGAAGGGAGAGAAGCACAGGTTTTGAGAACGATTGCTATGGTACGCTGGTTGGGAAGAATGGGGTGGCGGAGCATAGAGACAAAGTAACTAAGGCCGAAGTGAGTGTTGGAGTGGCCGGAGATGAGGGATGTCCATGAAACCACATTGGGTGATGGGATTTGTTGGAAGACATGGACGGCCTCAGCCACGAGATGGGATTTGAAGTAAAGGGTTATGAGATTATTGAGCTGAAAGCGATACTGCGAAGCGCCAGCCGTATTGGTTTTGATGACTCGAGCATGTATGCGGCGAGGATCCAGTTCCATAAAAAATATGAAGCTTAAACTTTCTGCAACTTGTACCATAAAACTTGAAAGAATACCCGTGCTTACTTAATAGGCCACACGATCATCTATTAACGAGCAATTGAAGCTGCATTTGTCCATTCTTGGTGGCCGTTTCTACATTCAGGGATAGTAAAGTTCAGTAAAAACTCATGATAATAAATTAGATTTCTAATTTCCAGAATACCATAGCTCCAACTTCCATATCAATGGTGTGAAGATTGCAATAACAAACGAATTGTAGATAAGGAAGATGGATTCAATTTGTAAGTGGGTAAACTTGCATTCCTGTAACATTTTGGTTCTCAACCATAAATATATACGCACATAATCCACCAGCAATGACATATGCATACCTGAAAATGCCAAAAGAGGCGATGTCAGTTCGAGACTTGAGAGGATGAGGCCTAAATCGGCAGCAGAGGCGGTGAGTATTGTAACAGCAGCAGGGCGGTCGCCGGTCGGCAGCAAAAGGATGATCGGGTCCACTGGGCCGCAGACCGGAGTATTTAGCAATTAGTATCGTTATTCGTGAATCGATTTCAGACTAATGGGCTTTAAAAATTTTACAAGGTTGAGGGTGGGCCTCTGTTTTACGGAGGGCCCATAAATGCTACCTCCCTTTGTCTTTTTCAGATTAACATGAAAAATATTTAAATTCTTTTTCAGTACCAGTAATGATAAGGATCGAAAGTTTTACTCAATAATACAAATTTAATTATCACTCATGAGTCGTTTATCAAACGCTTATTCAGATAAGTATTTATCAAGTTACATTATTTTACCGGATGAATATGGTATGGACCAACAATCTTAACCGGTAAGAGTGAGGCAATGACCAAGAGTCTTTACCCGTTAAGTTAAGGTGACGAATTTTATCACGGTTAGTGCTTACAAGATAAATTGTTGTATACGATATGTTGTGGTGGACTAAAATTTTACTCAGTAAGTAATAGTGTTAATTTTATCAATAAACGCTTACCGAGTAAGTTTTTGGTAAACGGTTCTTCAATTGAAAGGATGGTTTATGCGTAGTAAATAGGCAAATCCACCAACATTCTTGACCATCCTTTCCCTTCACAATTGTTGTTCAAGAAAACATATCCTACTCTTGTTGTAACCCCCAAACATGCCATCCATTATCTCAGTTCAAACCAGCCCTTCACCTCCCTGTCCATAACTGCTCGGCGTGTTCTTAGACCTGGCTTTTGCCGATCCATTGACCACCTTATTGATCACCTCTACGCAGAACAGGACATGACAGTACAAAAGCGAAAGCAAAAACTTGTCCCATGTTTTGAGCGACATTAGATTGGGACAGTCCTGGTCCTTAGTCGGACAAAATGTAATTTTTTTCTCTCTCGTCACAATTGGGGAACAAAGACAGAAGGATAGGCAAGATTGGTGAATTACTAAACTACCCATATTAAATTAAAACCTAAAAACCTTGCACAATTCCTTCATCTGCATGCCTAACTAGCACTCGTTCGGTCCTATCCCGTCCAGCAACCTAAAACTAGGCTTCCAGATACAGAGATGATCTCTTTTGGCTTCTATACACAGCTTTTCAACTTTCTACACAATCATCACAATACACATCTTCCAAGTAACTTGATTGAAGTCCCTAAAAGTACACAAAATATGGCAAGCACTACTCCAAGAACAGAAATAAAAGCAATATCCCTGATCGATCTCGATGACCGCTCTACCCTTCTAGTAGCGGCATTAGCTTTGCTGATCCTACTAAAGCTAGGCATCCGTTCAAACGCCTTGTTCACAAGAGCACTGCTCTCCAAGGCTGAAGCTGGACTGCTCGGTACTGACTCAACAAAAGCCCATAAAGCAGAAGAAAACCATGATTCTGTACCATCACCTTCTCCACATTGATTCACACCAGAATTGGGATTTCCAGACTTCCCATCAGTTATTACACCTAGAAAAATCAGAACAAAAAACAAAAAGAAACTTGCATATCAGCTAACAATTTAGGCGATACCACATTGATATCAATGGAGCTCTTGAAGCTGTGGCTCAAACTCCCCTCTTCCCAGATGGGCTCGAGAGTTCTGGCCAATTTTCAATTTGATCAAGAGCCCGAATGTTAAGACAGTAAACATCATAATCTAAATGGCTTCAAGTCGAAACCCTATTTACATGTCAATGACTACATCACATCACAACCCCCATTTTTGTCAAAATGTGTCTGCTCCAAAGAATGGAGCAAATACAGTACCTGAAGGAGCAGAACTAGCGAAATCAGTTGCTTGTGCACCCATGAAATCATCAGAACCCATTTGAAACTCGGTGTTTATAGCTTCACTTCCAATAGCATTTGAATATGAATGCATACCAGAGTTTTCCATTCCATAGTCAAGATTACTCATATAACATGGCTGTTGAATTTGTTGACTTTCAAACGGATTCATCTCGTTGATCCCAGTTGAATCGTTGTAGAAATCAAACTCACAAAACCCATCAAAATCAGCAAACTGCAGATTGTCAAGCAACAGCGGCTCAGAGTTCCGGAAAGCAGGTTGTGGAGTGATTAGATCATCCATTTCAAGAAAATCATCAGTGACCACCAAAGGCTGCAGCTCCTCCACAGTAGTAATCTCAGATGGTTTATTTGCTGACTGAGCCAAATCAGAACTTGGCTGAACATCCAATAGCTTCTCTCTTGGACCCATGGCTATACTCTTGTCAACTTGGCTTGAAGAACAAGCCAACAAAGTATTTTGACTTTCTTTCTCACCATTGATCGGATTAATCTGAGCCAGTGGTGGAACAATATCAGGTTCGACCATGATACCACTCTTTAGTTTAGGCTCATTGACCAAATTGCTGATGGTCTGCACCAAAAGTGCATCACCTTCCAAATAATCATAATCATCAGCCCATTCTTCTTCTACAAAGGGAGCACCATACTGTTCGCCGTTCTTGGGTCCAGGCCCACTTTTCTTAAATACTTTGTACAGAGCAAAGTATTCTTGAGCGTACTTGCATCTCTTGAGCTCCTCCTCGTCAAGGGTATACTCGTGCATCACCCAATCGGTGCGTTTACCAGAGGCTGCACGCCCTTGGTAATAGACAAGAGTTTTCTTGATCCCAACGGAACGTGAGTTGCATTTAATTATGCGGTCCTTTCCGGTTGCTTTCCAATAGCCACGCACAGTAGCCCTGTTTGATCTTCCTCCGTTGGGATACTTCCTATCCCGGGGGCTAAAAAAGAACCATTGCCTGTCACCGGTATTCCATTTAGATTGACCTATATTCCAAATTTAGAAGACATTGGTTAGCATTAATCATTCAATGGTAGTGTCGTCAAGGTTCAAAATGGCGTGAGACATGGCATGGAGGCAAGGTCGAACCTTACACACCACGGCGAGGATGTGGCGTTTTTCAAGGCGTGACATAAGGCGGCAAATTTGTATGTCCTATATAGAATTATATATATACACATATATGTTTTCTATATATCATTTAATCAGATAATGATACTAAAAAATCCACATTCATATTAAAAGAAGAAAAATCATATAGATTATTATTATAAAAGTGTCCTTGATTAAATATTCAAAACAGAACTTAGAAAGGTAAGTTTACAACTTCGTTTTAATTAATGAGTCCATGACGTTTATGAATTTGTGAAACTGTGAGTCATGTGATTAGATAAATCTATAAAAGTTGTAAAAGCTAAGCTAGAAGTGTAAAAACACAAAAGCTAAAAAAATATAAACTAAAAAAATTATTTCTTTTAAAAAAAGTGATGTCTTGTAAAAAACGTGCGCCAAGGTGCGAGGCACGCCTTACAGAGACGCTATGGGCCTTTCGTAACGGCACAAACGCATCTTGAGCCATATCCGCCATGGCGGGCCTTTTTGAACATCGGGTATCGTACAAATATATTAAATCACCAGCAAATGCTCAAATAAAACAGAAATACAATAACCATCATTTTTCAACGTAATTTGATTACGGATAAAGGAGTATAAAGTTTTTGTAACCATCATGCTTAACTATTTGTTTTCAAACGATTTTTATACTCCATAAAAACTTTAATGAAAAACATTATACCTGCAAAACCGTACATTTTTGTCCTCAATCTAACCACAGTTGAGTTTAGGTAACCCAATTAGATTATATTTTACTTCTTTAACCATCATACTTGGCATTTGTTCTCAAATAAACACCATACTTATAGTATACTCAAGAAACTATTAAACCTTTTCCCAAAATAATTTGTTTTGAATTGTTATTTGAGAAATTGTGAACCTTTTTACCTGTCTTAATTTTGAATATTGTTTCCCTTGTCACATTTGAATACCTTTGACCAAATATTTTGTATATTTCTGCCAAAATTGTGCTTTAACGCTAGTGTAGCAAATCATATTTAACAAATTGCATTAAAAAGATCGTGACACTTTTGACAAATTTTAAGGGGTTGTTTGTTTACCTCTTAATAGTTTTATTAAGAGGCAACTTCTGAATTGTTAAGAGATGAACCTTGTTTGGCAAAAAAAAAAAGTCCGCCTCTTAATGGTTCTAAAAACCCTCCGAATGATTTTGTATCATGGGCCTTCTTTAACCATTATGTGCCCTAATTTTATTGTAAACAACTACCAAACAATTATATTTCATTTTACACTATATCATGAGAGCCTCTTAATCATTCAGACCACTTAATCATTATGTACCAAACCATTCAGCAACTACCAAACATCCCCTAAGTTTTTTGCACCAATAGCATTTGACATTTGTGGGCATTCTTGCCAACTACAGTTTGCACCAAAAGATTTAGGCGAAAGTGTTCACAATTTCTCAAGTACAATGTTTTTAGTATTTCTACATGGCGATGGTTATCTTGAAAATGAAAAGGCTAACATGATGGTTAAAAGGGAGAGCATAATCCATTTGTTAACTAAGTTCAACCAAGGGAAAATAATGTCAAAATTTTACAAGTGTTTTTTTGGGGGATTTTACAACGTATAATGATCACTATTACTAGCATAATCCACTCGAATACAATTCAACAAGGCCCAATGGAGTTGGATTTCACTAAAGAGAATTAATTCTTTGTCTTGTTAACAATTTACTAAGAGTTCTGCTAAGAATCACATGACTGATTCAACCTCCGGATGACCCAAACATCTACATAATCAATCGATTAAGCCATACCCATACATAAAGCAGCGATCAAAACCCACCAAGTGATTAACCATCCCACAAATGGAAACAGAAACATAACCCAGTAATCAAACAAACAAAAATCAGTTCACGATCTTAATAAACAGTTAAAGATGAGTAAAAAAAACTAACAAAGTGAAAGTGTGTAGGCATGTATGTACGTACCAGGCAACTCTTCCGGATCCCACTTGTAAACATCGACTTCGCCGATAATATCAAGCTTGAGCGGTCGACCGCAGATCTTTCGTTTCAGATAATAAAGAATCAGCTCCTCATCAGTAGGATGAAACCGAAAACCAGGAGGAAAGAATTTTTCCCGGGAAGACGATGATGACTTGGAAATGATCGACTCAGAACCCATGAATCGGGGGATTAAAGTATTGAATAAACTAGTGTTGAGATTGATTGAAATTGGGTTTCGATTTTGGAAAGAGGGATTGAAATCGAAACCCTAGGTTATTTGAGAGATGGGTGGGAGGAAGGAGGCGTGATGGAGAAGTATCCAAGACCCAAATGGGTGGACTCGAATGAGATTTGGTGTCTTGGCAGTTGGCATTTCCATTTAAACAAGCGAATTTTCCGATAATAATTAGAGTAAATTACGGATTTGGTGTCAATGATTTTAAGTTTGTCTTAGATATGGTCCTTGTAGTTATCTATACTATATTATAAAGTATTTGATAAAACTCTTAAAATCCATTTTTTATACTTAAATTACTGTTTATTAATGTATGTTACTTAAAATTCAAGATTACAAGTAGATTGTATGTAAATACAACTTATTGAAATTTCATATCTGAATTTGTATACCTTCCCCCTTTACCACCACACCCAAGCCCTCACCTAACCTTCAACATCCCCTTCCGCCAACTAAATGTTTCTTTGAACCCCCACCTCACCTCTTACAACCCAACACCTATGACGACCCAAGCGTTCACCTCACCTTCAACATTCACCAACCAACTATTTCTTCAACTCCAACCTCACCTCAATTCGTACTCTATCAAAGAAATCAGGAAAAACCCGATTATAAATATGAACAACCAATCAAAGGACCCTTCGATGTCCCTATATCTTTGTCTGTTTCCAATCCTTCTACTCAAATAACTTGATTTTTATGTGTGTTAGGCTTTTGATTTTGAGTTTTGGTGACTAGAGATAGAGGTCGAAGAGGGAGGCCACCAGATCGATGGTGAGAATGGATTCAAATTACTTGGATTTTGGTGATGATGAGATACAGGTCGAGTATGGAATATGGAAGAAAGGTTCAAATACCGACAACTACTAGAGGGATATGAGTTGCCATGGTCAGGTAAAGGGAAAGAGAAGGGAGAGGGGGTGGATGATCATCAGATATGTGGTTGTTGCCGGTGATGGAAGATTAAGGGTAGGATAGGTGGTTTAATATTATAAAAGACAAAAAGAGAAACTTATAAAACAAAAGAAAGAAAAAAGGACAATAGAGAATAACTAAAAAAAATGAAAATGCACCTCACTTAACGGAGGCTCTTTTATGGTTATTACTTGCAGGGACCAAAATTTACGAAAATATAAACTTTGGGGGCTATTTTGAAATAAAAAGAATCCGAAGACCAAGTCCAAGTCCAAGTCCAAGACAATTTTAAAACTATGAAGACAAATCTAATTACTCTAGAAAATAAAATTAGGATTAAATAGTGGAATTTGACCATATATACATGATCAAACATAATCAAACCAAAATATAGAGAAAAGAAGATCAAAATTTCCCAAGCATGAATACATGATCAACCCAATTACGAACAAAAATGTTTTAAATTACAATCTCAAAATAAACTAGAGTTTAGACATAATCCAACTAACATCATGATTCATGACAGACAAATAATCTAGAGTACTGACTCGAAACTGAAAACTCCCAAACGGCTAAACTCGTCAACCCAAGCTTTCACTTTCCTTAGCTTCCTAAAAAATAAAATGTATGTAAAAGACTAAATAAATAAATATACCATAATCATAGTCAATAATATTGTAGTTACCCCTTCCATGCCATAATCATGCTCAATAGTACGAATATGTTTCGGTCTCATCGGAACAAGTTTCTATAAACAACACAATATAGTATCAATAAGAAAATAATTAAAATATATAACTAAAACAAATATAAGGTTACCTCGTGTTTCATTCAATAGCCAACTTTGAGCATACATTAGAGCCTCAAATGTTTTTGGATGAAGTCGACTACGATGTGGAGTTACCAATCTTCCACCGAAACTGAATGCAGAATCTGAGGCAACAGTAGAAATAGGAACAAATAATATATCTCTAGTTATCCTTTGAAGTGTCGGGTATCTAAACTCATTTGTCTTCCACCAAAGTTGCAAATCAAGCTCCATGTCTTTAGGCAAAAGTTTCTCTTACAAGAAATTATCCAACTCTGATGTAATACCTGAATCATCATGTTGGTTGGCAATTGAAGCAATGTTTGGTAAGAGTTTTCTAATATCAACTCGATGACTTTGCTAAAGCCCCTGAACTTAAAGAAGACAAACCACTAACACCTTCGTTGTTTCTTACGTCTGGATCACTAAATTCATATTCTTGAAACAAAGTGTAGACCAATTTCTTGAGCTTTTCAAGTTCAATCGCCGATTTGTCTTATCCGTACAACACATAAAAAAGTAACTCCATAAACTTCAATTTATACCGAGGATCTAAAACCGCTGCCATTCCCATAATCCCATGTATAACAGACCAATACTTGTCAAACTTTAAGAACATCTTTTTAGCCATGTTTCTAATAACTTCACTAGGAGAACATGACCAATTGACCAGATAATATCTAATTTCACATACCGATGAAAAAAATACATTTGTAGTGGGATACTTTGAACCATAAAACATTACCGTTACCTAAAATTGCCAAAAAAAACAAAAAACAAAAACTAAGGTTACCTCATATCAACAACACAAAAATAAAGTTTAAATAAAAATTAGAGTTACCTCATAAAATAATTGCAATCTATCACAAATCTTTTTAGCAAACTCCCAACCCCGTTGCGTTGGCAAACTTTTATACTGAGACCCTCATTGGTCTAAGCATTGAAAGACGTATTTGTAAACTATAGCATCACTAATCATCAAACAAGTAGAGTTTCATTGAGTCTTGCAATCAAGTGCCAATTTTTTGGTGGATGATATTTCCAATTGGAGAGCTGCTTCCTCAAACTTTTGATCTTTTTTTGGCAATGCAGTCCAAAAGGTCACACTATCTTTAATCCCTTCAATCCCTTCCCAAAAAATAATCAATCCATCTTGAACTATAAAATTGAGAACGTGCGCACAACATCGCATGTGGAACAACCTCCCACCTATCATAAGTGAACTCATAGGAAGCTTGTCTAACAATATGTTGATTATTGCATCATTTCTGGTGCAATTATCAACAATTAGCATGGACAGTTTCCTATCAAGATTCCAATCCAATAAAAAATCATAAAGTACATCCGTAAGAACTTCAGATGTATGTGGATAAGGCACATAAATAAACCTGGTTCAACATTTGATACGTTAATAAAATTGAAAATAATTGAAAATAATCTCAACAAATTAACTTTAAATAATGTAGATAGTAAAGATATACCTTATGATCCGACTTTGCATATTCCAATTTTGATCAACAAAGTGAGCAGTGATCGCCATAAATTCCTTTTTTTATTTATTGTTAGTCGTCCAGATATCAGTAGTAATTGTTATCCTACTGGTGTTCTTCTCTAACAGCTTCAATGTCCTTTGTTTTTCAAAATCATAAATCTTTAGTATGTCACTTTTAATGGTGTTTTGAGACGGAACCTTAAACAAAGGTTGAAGACCTCCCACAATTTTTCTGAACCCATGATGTTCTACTATTGAAAGTGGATATTCGTGTATGATTATCATCTCCGCGAGATTTCTTTTTGATCTATCTACATTAAAAGTATAATTAGAAACATATGATGAAGAACTATCAACATTATTTTGCTACCCTACTAAGATATGTTGGTGTATATCTCGAGCAGGTCACCTTGAACAAGACATGAAATGATCATGTAAATGCTTTGTACCATTTCTCGAATTCACCCCCATTTTTTGCAATAATTACATTATGCTTTATCATTACCATCCACTTTTATTTTCTTAAAGTGATTTCATACTATTGATCGTGTTTTTCTCTTTCTACCCTCGATTCAACTTCATCATTATCAAAGACATCATTAGTTTGCGTTTCGTTTTAAGTCACTGAATTAATTGCAGGTGATGATCCAATTAGATTACTTTGTGAAATAGACTCATTCATTATTGGATGGCTATCAGTATGAGTGATTGTATTGGAATCATTACATTGTCTTCCCATATCTGATATCACCAATGTAAAGACAAACAATTTAAATATTTTGGTGTCAATTAGTGCAAATTTTTTAGAGCAACAACAACAATAATACTTCATACATGATGCATCTAAGTTCTAAGTATTTTAGAGCAACAACAACAATAATACCAAGGTACCAAACCTACTCCATGAATCAACAAATAGATTATGAACAAAATCAAGTTACCAAGTTTTAATATTCACTTAGGGTTAGGAAACAGTGAAACAAATCAACAGATTAGAACTTAGAAGCAAATCAACAAATAAATTAGAAACAAATCAAGTAATCGACAAACCGAGAGAAAAGATTCGTTTGATGGTTTGTGAGACAGCGAGCACAACGACAATGAGGACAACAACGAGCCATGATGAGTGAGGAGTGAGGACAGGCAGTAGGTCAGCAACGAGCAAGAGCCAAGAGACAGCGAGCGAGAGGAGAGGGTGAGAGCCGAAAGACAGCCGACAGCGAAAAAGAGATTTTTGAGGAGTGGATTGGTCGTCTGGTCGTGTATTGTTGTCGGTGTCGAGGTGGAGTTAGGTCTAGGCGTGTCTGTCGTCGTGAAGACATGAAGCCTTCAACAGTCTCAGTCGAGCTTTATAAATCTTTGGGCTTTAAGCCCTTAAGCAACTTTGGGCTTTATAAATGCTCTTAGCATTTTATAAAATTGTGTGTGTGTGTGTGTATATATATATATATATATATATCATATCGGGTGGGTGAGTATCGTCCCCATCCCTGATATAATCCTCGAAAATCCCCCCGATCCCCGCCCCGTCCCTGTTAAGCGGTCCCCGAAATCGACCCGAATTGTTTGGTTTTGGTTTTCACCATCGATTTCGTTTTTTCTTTGCCATCCCTACCTGGTATTTACGTAATGTTGATATTGTGTTTCTCTAAGTTGGACATGTATGGTCTTGTAATCGACGTCTAATATGTTATGTTTGGTATTCTATTTTTTAGTCTTCAGTTATGAAGTGTGATATGCATTGATTATTCAAGGTATAAAACGTCTTATCCCAACCTTGAGTCTTTTTTATTATATTATTTTCCATTTGTTTATACTTGGTGCTAAATTAGGTGATTGACTTGTCTTTGCACCATTAGAGTAGCTAAATCTTAAACTTGAATGTCTATTGTTTTGTGTTGTAACATTTCACCAGAACTGATATTTAAGAAGCGGCGTTTTGAAAAGGCTTTATGAATTCAGCTGCTGCATGAAGATAAGGACAAACTTTTGTTGAACTCTTGGTTATAGAACTGAAGATCTTTGTAGTAGAAGACTTTTGGAGAAATGCTTTTTGTATTTGATGTGATACTCTCTTTTACTTTTGTACTTTTTGTCTCCTTTTAAGGAGCCATTGCTTTCCCAAGATCTTTGTCTTTTTCTTTGGTGTTTTGGTATAAATAGGACATCTTAGAACTCATTTTGATTATCCTTTCATATTTAGATTTGTAGCTTTTTAGCACATTCAAGTTAGTTCTTGAATTTCTTTAAAAAATGTTCTTTAAGATATATTGTTGCAGCATTGTTCTTGTTGTCATTTACTTTCCGCTATTTACATTTAGTCATTTATATTTATGTCTTTACTTTCTATTGTTTATATTTCTTGTCAATTATTTTCCGTAATGAGTAGCTAATTCCATTAGTTTGGGTGTAAGACAAATGGTGAAATGTTAAACCGAAGAAAAGTGGATCTTGTTTTGCAATAACAACGTTTGACACTTCTTGACGAGTTGATCACTTTGAAAGTGTTAAAGTGTCATGGTCTTAGAGATAAGCCATTGAATGCACGTCAACTTGAATCATATGAGAGGTAAACTTGAGAAAGTTGCCGACAAGTAGACTTGTCATTTATATCTTTCAAACTAATTAATTCTTGATACATTGGTCACTTGTTAAAAATGTTAAAGTGCGGTAGATTCAGAGATGAACTACCTAGAACACACGCCAACTTGGATGATATGAAAATCAACTCAAAAAAGTGATTTTTAACAAAGAGATTTGTTTATGCATATATTTCGAAGATACCATTTTGTCACTATCCCTGGTCCGGATACCATATAAAGATATGAATAGAAAGCTATAATATAGTGCAATGGTGGAAGCCCGAGAGAAATACCTTCAAAATAGATGGTGGAACTAGTTATGACCTACTGCATGCTGTAACATTCCTACAACATTACCTGTTGGATATTTACATTTCACCACAAGTCTTACACCATGTTACCCTTTTATATTATGTTATTTCATTATTGTTAACTCAGATCCAACTGAAGTCTTCAATTTCATCATCTGAAATAATTTATTTCATTGAACTCTTTTTAAGCCTTTATTACAATCTCCATGGACGATAACCGATTTTTACCACTTTATTACTTGAAAAAGACGACATTGGACCATATTATATTCTTGCTTTGAGGTTCCTTTTATAAGTTTAAGAGTGCGAAAAATAACCTACCAATATGATGGATGGTTTGTATGTTTTAAGTTATGATAAGTGATCACGACCCTAGTAAAAAGAGGCTGTGATTATAGGTTGAAAAAGAATGAAGCAGGGAGGAAGAATAAGGATCGGTAAGTAGAAGGATTGAGACAAATGACCAAACTGCCCCTCATGTGACGTACATAAAACATATGGGGGCACTTAGTGGCCGAAAGATAATGACTGTTGAGGATGGGACTAAAACTAAAACGGAATGATATCTATAAGGTTAGGTTTGTAATAAATAAAATATGAGAGACGATAACCAAAGTTTAACAAACCACATGAACAAGGTTAGTAATTTAATCTTGAAATAACATACGATAGAATTAAAAAGGATCTCGTTTTTCTTCTGTATACACAACTACGTAACCATGGTCAGTATTTTAATGATCATCATCAAAAGCCAAAAGATATCATCGAATTGTTTGTCAAATTAGTCAACAAAAATAAAAAAAAGATAATACATGGTCAATAGATTATGAAACCATCCATATAAAATTAAAAACGCTAAAACCTTCTATAATCCTTAACTTAGTTATCGCCCATCCGGTCTAGTGCGCACCCTAAACTCATCGAGGGATCATTTACCAAACGTTTCTCAGGTGTTATTTATCTTACTGAATGAGCGTGAAATTCACCGAGACTCTTATCTAATAAGTGTGGGAAAACCTTTTAACTGATCAACGTATATCAGGTAAGAAATATTACCCAAAAATTCATTTTGATAGCCGAAAATGTAGGGTAGTTTACCCGTCACTTACCGGCAAGTCATGACCCTAACTTTTAACTTGCCTTATCGGGTATATTTTCAGCCATCAAAATGAATTGTCAGTAAGCGTCTTTTACCTTATAAGCATTAACTGTGTAAGAGTTTTCTTCTTCACTTACTAAATAAGATTCTCAGTTCTTGTTTTACCGCTTACCGGATAAGATTAATAAAACTCCATAGAAAATACTTTGGTAAATCACCCATGGGAAAAGCAGCACCTTACAAAACGGTCCTTAATCTAATGAGAAGTGTTTCCTTTTTTGAAAAAGAGGGAAGCCAATGGTTTATTGATCGAGCGGTCCAGCGAATCCACAAACAAGATTACAAAGTTCTACACCTGTCGAGCCAACTTCTACAGATCTGATTCAGTACGTCCCGTTTAACTCCTTGTTCTCTTTGATTTTGTACCCGAATTTTGACCTAAATCTGTTGTATTATCACACTTACAGGCTATATTTGTATATTCAATCGGAGTTGCTGAACTAGTTAGTTCGGATTTAGGGATCAGATTGGGGTTAGGGTTTAAGAAGTGGGATTTTATTTGATTTTACAGTGATGGTGTTTTGGGAAGGGTACGTAAGTGATGAAGTGATGGGTACATTTGCCCCAATTGTGGTGTACTGGTTGTACGCTGGAATTTTCCAGTTGCTACCGCCTCTAGATAATTATAGGCTGCACACTAGAAAGGAAGAGGATGCGAAGAACTCGGTGCCATTGGGTTCGGTTGTCAAGGGTGTATTGCTTCAACAGGTTGTTCAGGCAGCCGTTGCCCACCTCCTGTTTTTGGTAAGATGGCTCTTATTTACATCATCTTTATTATATTATTTTGGAAAGTTGAAGAGTTTTCTTTTCATATTTTGTATGTCTAATTGTTTCCCTGTTACTAGGTTGTTTGATTTCTGCTTGTTTAGTTATAATACTTAATAGGGATATGAGAATTTAGTACTTGTAGAGAATATGGAACTGGGGTATGTATCATGCAAATTGTAGAGTGAAATCAACTACAAGTGATTACAAGTTGCTTTCGTATTGGAAACTATTGAAACATAATGATTAAAAGAGAAAATAGGAACTAGGAAGGATACCACATCAGGTGCAAGCACATCTGCAGCATTTTCTTGATCAGCAGAGATTACTTCTGATTCTGATGTTGCTGTTGCAGCAGTTCAGCTGTGTTCTTCTATGTTTAATAAGCTAAATTCTACTAGTTCCCACTTTTAATTTACCCAAGGATCCCAATGCTTTGTTTAGAATATTAAAGAATCTGTCCCAAGACTCTTCCTTTTCACCCATTTATTCATGTATCCTTTTCGGTGATTCAAATCTCTACATCTTTTTTCTTTTTTTGTATATTTTTCTCTTTCACATTTTGAATTTTCTATTTAGTTTCATTCACATATGATGGTTTCATGATGAAACCTGGGATGACTTGTACTTGTGTGCTACAACTTTTAGGTTAACGCTAGGATCTTTAAGAAGTTATATATTGTTTGCTTAAATAGACCATATTATATGCATACTTGCCCCTTTGCCATCAATGTAAACAATTACAGTAAACTCATGATACAAAAAGAGTGGTGACAGCATAAGCTTTTCAATCCTTGCACTTGGAATGTCTCTAAGCTCACCCATCTATTGCTAACTGCCCAACTCCTATATGTTCCTATATTTAAATCTCTGTTGACTTCCTCCAGGTTGTAACTTTTGGCTTAGTCATAGCTCATCTAATGCCCTCCTCTTGGTAAACGTCTCTCTTTCTCACTTGTGCATCCAAAGGTTATATTCCAGATGTAACCGAACCACCTCAACCGTCGTTTCAATCTTAATTCATTTTAACCATTTTTTCTCTCAGATATCATCAACTTCTAATCTTGTTAATCCTTTCGGGAGCAAAAATCCACCTCCACATTTGCATTTCTACTATACTGACCTTTGTGTTTTCCAGAAAAGAATTTGTTGCTCTTAATATATATCATAAATGTTTTGCCAATAATATGGACAAGAAGTTTCCTTATTCAAACTTGTGATTTCTTTTGCACCTTCAAAGGTGATGCTCAATTACTCATTCAAGAGAATTATGGCTGCGTAACTTCTATCCTATTGAAACACTTGTTTCTTTTGCATTAAATGTTGAAGCACTCCACATAATGACACATGCTAATTCTTGCATATGACTGCTTTGCGACATGATAAATCAAATATATTGGCTACTCTTAATCTTATGATATTATACTTTCCTGTTATTGATTATTTGTTACTTGATATCCACTCTTGAAAAAGTTCGGTACTGATCGTGGATTTTGCTAAAGATGGTTGTGATTTCTCTGAACTTTCCTTCTATAACTTTGAAAGATGTGTGAAAATCCTTCATCGGAAAGGGATATTCTGCATTCTTGAAGCATCTATTTCTTTTTATGCAAATTGCTCACAGAAACGAAATAAACTTTAATGTTTTCCACATATCGTATTTCCTCCTCCTATTCGTACCACAACTTAATAACTACTACCAATTTTGATAGACCCATGACTCAACAGTGAGAAAGAGAACAAGAACAAGTTTCGTGATTCTCTTGTATTCAAAATGCTACAGCTGAATGATCCAAACTTTTTCCTTTCTACACTTAAAACATCAATCAACACACATCTTCCCTATTCTTTTTGTTAAAATGACTTATCATGTGAAACAAGCTGCTACCATAAACACAGATCTATATATGATACATGCATAAGGGGTCTCTCTCTTTGGTTGTATCGTGAACGTATATTTGTTTAATGTTTTGCTGTATTGCACCTTTATCACAAATCAGAACTTATTACTCTTTCAACGAACGTTTACTCCACTTGAGAACCTCTAAAAGTTGTATAACTAGCCAAAAATAATATATCAACCACAACCATTAAGATTATCATCAAGCATATCATTTTTTCTTTTCTTGAAAAGAGTGGAATTGTTAGGAGATGGATATTACTTCAAGTGTTTATTCTAACTGAAGGTGTTATCGTGAGTTTGGTGGTTGTCATAAATTTGCCTTTCCAAAAAGGTTCCCTTTATCTTTATATTTATTTATGATAAAGAGAGCTTTTAGTAGACTCTTCCTGTACTAGTGAAACTACTTATTCATTTAGCTTGAAAGGGAATTCTTTTCTATCATGAAAGGGGAACTGAATGTGATAGCAAGAAAAAGCGTGTAATGCGGGGAGGCGGGAGTTACTAATTTGACTGTGCTGGGCAAGGATTCTTCATACTAATATACACAAATTGTGCAGGATACAAAAATATGTACCCAGTACCTTTAATATGACGGATATTGAGAAAATATTCGGTGCTGCATGTGGTTAAGTGCTGCGACGTGCATTATTTGAATGTAGTTTCATATGCATAATCCTGATTTCAGTTTCTAATTGGTACCCGAAATTATTGTATTTATTTATCACATATACTTGTGATTCCTATAAAAAGCCATGTGAATCCAATTGCAATGCTTTTATACTCGTAAGACTACTCTCCTACATGCACATACTGATATACATTTTCGTTAACTGGTGTATGGAGTCCATATTCACAAACACACATTGATAAACACTTACATACATATTCACACACACTTGCACATATACATACATATTCACACACATTTTGTACATGTACATACATATTATATGCATGCACATATACACACATTATGTACATAATACATAATAATACACACAAGTGTATGTATATGTGTGTATACATATACGAGGCGACATTCTCCCTTTATTGTCTTCTCACCGACTCAATTGTCTGTGTTGTTCCCCGTCCACATCAACTCAAATACTGGGATCATTTGTCTTGTATCAACTTTACTTGTAAAGAATCTTGATCTACTTTCTTTATTTGTGGATGGATACCCTCGTTTAATTAGGCAACTGAGGCTTTGTTGACTTTGTTTGCCGTAAGGCTCTATCCCTAATTCATTCAAAAAGGGTGTACTCTTTTGGCTATACTGGAAAATAAGATGATTTATAGTAACCTGGAAAATGGAACATTAATCAAAGAGCATGCACATCCCAATTCATCTGAATCCTGAAGTAGCCTGCAGTTATTGTTTTACTACCAGGCTTTAACTTGATGGTAGGCATAAAATATATCTATGGTCGAGAGAGAAACACACTATCAATTCTACTTTTTTTCTCAATTTATCGTCCTCTAAATTTCTTCGCATTACTTCCATGTCCACAGATTTACATGAAGAATTAGAGAGTGATGATAGAGAGAGAATGGAAAAAAATATAGCACCAAAATGAATAAATGAAGTTTTAATGCATATTATACATACCATCCTGGTTATGTCCGTCCCATATTTGTAAAGTGAAGTTACTCCTGCCTGTTCTCTGTTTCTTCATCCGAATTAGTAATACTTCCATGTTTCTCAAGTTAATACAATGTTTGACTAAGCACATAGTTTAATTTAAGTGTTTGTTTTTTAGGTAGATTTATAAAATACTCCTTGGTAAATAGCAAAATAAGGGAATGTTTGTGGAGAAAAATCAATGCCATCAATTTTTGTGATGATTATTAATGGGTAAAGAACGTTACAAGACATTTTGTTTTTTGTTTCTGTTGTTTTCTATAAAATCTATCAAAATGTAATCTTCTTGAGATATTTTGTGACAAAAAAATTGAATTTAAATTCTTCTAATGGTGCACCAACGGTGACTTGTGTGATTTGCATCCGAAAATGATCAAATATTGTCTTGATTTTTGTGTTTAATGTAAGAAAATCTTTGGGACTGAGGAAGTATATGGTATGTTGTATAATGATCATTTGACATCTTTTGTTCTTGTCTAAAATCTCTACAATTTTTGTATGTAGGTGACCTCGGAGACAGGCTTAGTTGGGACTGAAATCCAGCCGTCCGTTCTTATTCAGGTTGTGCAGATCATCATCGCAATGTTTGTGATGGACACATGGCAGTACTTTGTGCACCGATACATGCACATGAACAAATTTCTGTATCGCCACATTCATTCCCAACATCACAAACTGGTGGTACCTTATGCAATTGGAGCCCTCTACAATCACCCACTCGAGGGTCTTCTGCTAGACACAGTTGGTGGGGCCATCTCTTTTCTTATCTCAGGAATGACCGCAAGAACTGCTGTTATATTCTTCTGTTTTGCTGTCGTAAAAACAGTGGACGATCATTGTGGACTATGGTTGCCGGGTAATCTCTTCCATTTGTTTTTCCAAAACAACACCGCTTATCATGACATCCATCATCAACTGCATGGCCTGAAGTACAATTTCTCGCAACCTTTTTTCCCAATTTGGGATAAACTTCTTGGAACCCACATGCCTTATGATCTCATTAAGCGGCCCGAAGGAGGATTTGAGGCTCGGCTATCGAAAGATTAACTCCAATCAATCTGTTCACTACTCAACTGTATCAAAATGTCGATTTGATTGAGGTAACTTGAAATCCCCCTTAATTTCTCTTTATCCAAATGAATTTGTAGGCTGCAAGTTGCTAGTAATCAACTCCTTGATTGTGTTTAGTATTATTCTAATCATTCTTTCTTTCCATTTTTTGTCTGATTCTTTGGATTTTAAAGATGTAACAGTGATTTGTAACTTGTTATTTTGGTGTTCTTTTGTGCAGTCTTGCAAAAATTGTAATCTTTTGACATGCTTCTTCTGTGTTTGCAACAAATACTGTATGTTCTTCAAATGGAATACACTTATGGTTTGCAGTTTGCAGTTTGCAGAGGTAAATTGAAGTTCTTTCTTATAAAATTGAATTATGGTTAAAGATTTGCATACAATATTGATGATTCATGCATTATATCTTTTTGACAATTGATTTCATGTTGTTGCTATTTGAGCATCCATGGGGTAAATATCATATTCATATGTGAATGAGGGTGGAGTACTAGCTTAAATACTTTTAGGTTCTCTTTAGCTCATGCGGAGGAATGAAAATGAGAATGAGAATGAAAATGATAGATAATGAATTTGCATTCCCTCCAGTTCAATCAGGAATGAAATTTTGGGCTTATGAGGGAATGATTCTATTATATTATAGAAAACCAAACAGTTTCTTTTATTTTCATTCTCATTGATTAATGTCCGGTACTTCTAACCATACACCCCCTTAGTTTTTCTTTAAACATTTATTATTTATGTTGCATAGTTTAAGAATGTTTAATAAAAAATTGTATTTGCTAAACAATAAAATATGAAAAATTGTGCTTTTAACGACTGCTTGATTTGGAGCTTTTGAGAGTGTTTGCATTTGTATGAATAAACTACAGTTACTTATATACTGACGTAATGATGACACCGATGCTTTTTTTAATGGTTTTTATATCAAGAAATAAGCTAATTAATACTTAACTAGTTGTGTACCTGTGCAATGCGACGATAGAGTCATAACTTTTAACGATTTTGAAGTTTCATTGGTTTTATTAGAGAAGATTTAACGATGATATAAGTTACACTTGGTCTTTACATATTAATACAATTTGAATAAATAAGAGTTATGGTTCCAATTACAATCTATCAATGGGAAAAAAATTGTATGACAGTTTAAAATCCAATATATTTAAAATCCAACATATTTAAACGACTCTACAAATGTGTTCGATTTACACCAAGAGCAAAGAATCAAGAGATCGAGAGCGAGACCGAGAGTTCTAGAGCAATTGAATGAGAGAACCTTTAATAACTAATGATGAATATCAGTTTGAATATCACCTTGGAGGATGAGGAGAAAACATAGAGGTATGAGAGAGTGAATGCATGAGTGAAATGTACCACATCACTCGCCACATCAACATGATAATCCAGGTATTTAAATGTTTAAAATTTTATCTACTATCGATAACATCCAGAGTAAATTACAACTTCCATTTATGTGTTTTAGAAATTATGGTTTTCGTTCTTGTATTTTGCAATTCATTGTTATTTTCATTCTCATATCTAACTTCTACCTTTAGGTACGAGGGATGGAAACAATAGTGAGTTATCGCTCATAGGGATGGAAATCGTAATTTTAAAAAGTATAGGATAAAAATAACAATTTTCAACAAATCATAGGGGCGAAAAATGTAATTTCCTGTAATATCTATTTTCACTACATAAAATCTTAATAAGATTGGGACCCTAAACTCTAATTGGGGGTATTTTGTAACCATTTTATGATGGTTTTCACAAAATTTGTTAACAAACTAACAGATGAAGTTTACCAATAATCTTTACAAGAACATAACCCATCTTTAAATCTATGAAACCGAGTTCGATCCCTCACGATGATCTCTCGTTCGTAAACCTTCGAAACGAGCTTCATCACCTCGTGACAATCCCCACAAATCCGAAGATTCTTGTTCACACGTATCGGACTAGTTGTCCCAAGGCTAAGCAACCCGAAAGCCACAGCCAATTTCTCACTATGATAATTTAGCGCGTTCTGTTTCTCCTCGGTCCCTATATCGTGCAACACGTAATCGGTCTCGGGAACGTACCCGTGTTCCATAATCCGACACTTGATCTCATCGAGCTTCTGATAGATCGGTTGTAAATCCGAATGACTTTGATCTCCGTTCACAAACTTGTGAATCACACCGTCAATATCGATGTAGCTAAACCCTGGAACCTTTTTAACTTCCTTTTCTTTCATCGAGTCCCTAACTCGACGTACGTCTTTCCATCTATGATGAGCTGCGTAGATGTTTGATAGTAACACGAAGTCTCCATCGCTACTTGAACCTAGCTCCGCCAGCTTTCTTGACGCCTTTTCGGCCATTTCTATGTTCCCATACGTCTTACAAGCACCTAATAAAGTCTGCCAGAGAACGATATCAGGTTTTATAGGTATTGAATCGATGATATTGTAGGCCTCATTTAGTCGGCCCGATCTCCCCAATAGATCAACCATGGCACCATAGTGTTTGATATTAGGAATCACCGAGTCATCTTCAGCCATTGTTTCGAACAATTTGATCCCGTGTTCGACCATGCCGGCATGATTACAAGCACAAAGAGCGGCAAGATAACTAACGTTATCGGGTTGAAATCCTTCTTTATCCATTTGATCAAAGAGTTTAAGTGCTTCGAGGCCTTCACCGTTCGTCCCCATGACCATGATCATCGTGTTCCAAGTAACAAGAGTTTTTGGACACTTCATGTCGTTGAATACCCGATAAGCTCTTCCAACGTACCCACATTTCCCGAACATATCAATCGCCACATTGCAAACTTGCTCATTTGCATCAAGATTTTGGCTTTTTATGTAATTGTACATGCTTTCGCCCTCTCGGATTGTGCCCAACTGAGCACATGCCGAGAGGGCTCCAATAACCGTGATCGCATTGGGCTTGAACCCAACGTCTCTCATTCTTGTAAAGAGTTGCAAAGCTTCGTTGGGTCGGTTCCCTTGAGCCAGTCCAGCAATCATAGCGTTCCAACACGTAACATCTAATTTAGACATTTCATCAAACAGTCTGCGTGCGTCGTCCAGATAACCAGACTTCGCATACACATCCAGCAGCGTGGTTTGCAGCAAAACATCTGCTATAAACCCATATCGAACCACCTGCGAATGTATCTGGATCGCTTCGTTACAAGCTAACGCTCGTGCGCAGGCTTTAAGGGTGAACGAGCACGTGAGAGCGTCGGGCTTGCAGGTGAGCACGCGCAAGCCTCGGCGGTAAAAGATGACAGCATCGGCGGGTTGATGGCTCTGAGCGAGGCCGCGGATGACGGCGTTCCAGTCATTAGTGACTGGAAATGCAATGTGTCGGAAGATGTCAGCGGCGTAGAGGAGGCTACCGGCGGCAGAGGATGTGGCGCAAAATTCAAGGAATTTGGAACGTGGGGAAGGGTAGAATTCGAAGACACCGGCGGTGATAAGGTGAGCTTGGAGTTGTTTGATGTGGGACAAGGTGGCGCACTTTTGCAGTAATGGCTCGACGGCGGCGGCCATGCCACCGGAAAAAGACTTGAAAGAAAGAAATATATAGCTGTTAGTAATTTGAATTTGACCCCTTTAAATATGTTCTTTTTTGCGTTTTACCCCCTTGGATATAAAATTATACCTATTACCCCTCCTATTTTGAATGAGTGTCAACTCATCCCTTTCTTCTATTTAATCTTTGTATTTTCAACATTATCGTTTACTTATCGGATAAGATTTTATTCACTAAAACGCATCGTATGCAACAATGTATCCCGGTAAGCGCTAACCATGGTAAGAGTCTTCGTCCTCACTTACCAGGTAAGACTCTCGATTCTTGTCTTCGCTCTTACCGGGTAAGATTTTTAGTTCTTACCATATTCATCCGGTAAAGTAAAATGGCTTGGTAAACACTTACCCGGGTAAACATTTGGTAAACGACACCTTAGATATGAAAACTTTGACATATTATCTAAAGACTAGGGATAGTGTGAGAACGTAAGTTATGGTAAGAAGAGATTCGATTCTTGATCATTTTTAATTTCATGTTTGTCTATGAATTGCGCTCTGGAAGAGAATTGATCCATTGCATCTCGGTGTATCCCATTAATGTTGACGTTCAATTAGGATTGATTCAAGGGTGTAAATGTCTTCTTACTCTTCTCACCGTAACTTCTCATTCTCATCATTTATCTAAAAATGAATTGATTTTTGTGTGTGTATATATATATATATATATATGTGTGTGTGTGTGTGTGTGTGCGCGCGCGCGCATGTGTGTCATATTATCTTTACAGGCCATTTACTAGAAGTTTACTGATTAGTGGTTACCGAGTCATTTACCTTACGGATGAACATGACAAGAGGTGACGATTCTTATCCAATAAAAGCAATGATAAGGATAGAGAGTCTTACCCGGTAAATGCTTACCAGGTAAATTGATGTATACAATCTTATCCAGTAAAATAAATTATAGTAATAACTTTTACCAGTATGTGTTTGTCGGGTAACTGTTTGAGTAAACAATTCCTAAATCAATTGTTTCATGGAGAAAACAAGTCAAGTGGACCCGATGGATACATAAAATGAATTTTTTATGCTTCTATATAAACTAAAAGTGTACCCGCATAATGCAGCATGGTGCATCTCGATTTCGAAGTCAAGAACTTAAACCCTCAATTCAGATTCTTGTTTTGTTCCATTCCTTGTTTCTTCTCGATTCACTTTTATGGTTTGGTGATTTTGAAAGAATAATAACGATTTTGATCGGTTATCAGTTTTATGAAGTATTTTACTGTATTAATAGAATTGTACTGCTTGATACACATATTATGAAATAAAACAAACCGGGTAAAAGAATAGGAAAATATATTAGCAATATCAAACTGAAAAATGTTTATTTATTTTTATATAATTTGTTAAATCAAAACGTGAATTGTATTTAAGATATTCTATATTTTAAATAAAAAATGAGATGTGTATTATGTACGGTGAAATATCGTGTGATAAGAGAAGTTACGGTGAGAAGCATAAGAAGGGATTTGAACCCTTGATCACTTTTAATCTTATGTCCACTTATGAATTATATTTAGAAGGGAATTGATAATGTGCATCTCGGTACACCTCATTAATGTGGACATTAAATTATGATTGATCAAATGGTGGATGTCTCTTTTTACGCTTCTCACCATAACTTCACTTCTCACTGAAATTCAACCATATTATGTATTTAATTATGTTTATCAGTAATTTGTTATATAATAACATTGAGATTTAAGAAGTTATGTGCTCTTGAATTTCAAAACGACATGTATTACACAACGGTACTTGATGCAGGAAAATAAATTTTGTAAAAACAACTGGGAACGAAGTATCGATATAGATATCAAATTTAAAGTAATGAAATGCTATTTTTTTTATTATTTTAAATGAGATGTTTATCTTGTATTAGTTAGCTATTTGAATTAAAAAAATGGAGCTTTAGAAAGTTGAACTTATGCACCATTTTATTATAATATTAAATTTCATATAATATGCATCAATAAACGGTAACTGATTTTTAGAAACAGTTTTTAAGAATTTCCTACAAATAGTTTATAGTATAGTATGTTATAATAATATCATAAATAAGTTTATTAAAAAAGTACAATTTTATTTGATTATCTATACTATATTATAAAACATTTGATAAAAACTCTTAAAAATCTTTTTTTTTAATGCATGAAATACTGTTTATTGATGCATATTACATAAAATTCAAGATTTCAAGTAAATTGTGCGTAAATAAAACTTATTAAAGCTCAATGTTTGAATTTATATAACTAACTGTGGATAAATATAATCAAATAGARGATAAACATCTYATTTTAAAATATAAAAAATCTAAAATATAATTAGGATAATTATCGCATTCTAACAAATAATTAATTATTATTTTTATAAAAAATTATATTATTAAACCAAATATAAGTTACTTCGTTATTGAAACTAAATTAAGCTATAATAAAAAAAATTGTATTAAAAAATTACACAAAAAAATGAGAAATTTTAAATAATTAATTTGATATTAATATCGATATATTTTTGTCAATTTTTATAATATCTTCAAACTTATATTTTATTCAAAAATAAAAACATTGTCGCATTTTCAAAATCACATAAGACCATATTATAACATCGACTGAAATAAAGAATAAAGCCAAATATTAAAATTAAGATGTATCTCGCTGCATTACACGATTATATTTCTAATATATCTTTAAAATCATATTTATTACCTTTATTTCAATCTAATTTTTATGAAAAAATACCTCTTATGATTTGTCTTCATTTGTATATCGAGAAAATCCAATGTATCACATAATGTGAATAAAAGAATAAAATTTAACTAAATATTATTACGTTTATTTTTTTGGAAATAAATTAAAATAGTCATTTTTTATGATGAGTTTCACCTGTTAGTATGAGAGTTAATAGGAAAGCATACTAACATGAGTTAATTTTAGTTTTTCTTATTCGGATATATTTTTGAAAGTACAATGTCCTAATAAAAAATATTTTGAAAATACATTGCTGTAATAAAAAAAAACTGAAAGTAGAATAAATATTATAATAACTAATAAGGAAATTTGTAAAATTAGATTGTTTTTTCGTGCATTTTGTCCTATTTTCAACAATTTCTCCATTTTTTAGATTACAATATGATTTATATTATTAAAGATAACCTTGAAATGAAATGTTTATGAGAGATAAATAATTTTTAATTAAATGTATCAAATACTTTAATGATATAATTAATATTGTAATCGTTAAAATAAAGAATCTGTTAGAGTTCAATGCAATTCTTTTTAGAGATATTGAATTTTACTTCTCTATATTAAAAACTCTAAAAAGAACTTGTTGGAGACTACAGAAGGGTATTCGTACAATGCGGCGAGATACATCTCGATTTCAGTGTTTCGTTTTGTCTCAATCGATGTTATAATACAAGTTTATGTGGTTATGAGAAAACAATAATGTTTTTGTTTTTAAATAAAATATATATAAAGATATCATCAAAAACTGGAAAAAAAAAATTAATAATGATGATATTGATACCAAACTAACTATTTAAAATTTCTTTTTTTTTTGTGTATATTTCTTTAACTCATTTGTTTAATTTTGATTTAATAATATAATTTTTATAAATATAATAATTAAATATTTTGTTATAATTCAATTATTATCTTAATTATATTTTAGATTTTTTTATATTTAAAATGAGATATTTATCTTTTATTTGATTATGTTTATCTGCAGTTAGTTACACGAATTCAAATATGAAGCTTTAATTAGTTGTACTTACGCACAATTTACTTGTAATCTTGAATTATAAGTAATATGCATTAATATAAATAGTATTTCATGCATAAAAAGAATGGTTTTTAAGAGTTTTTGTCAAATGTTTTATAATATCATACTAAAAGGATACTCGCACAATGCAGGGAAATATATCTCAATTTTAATGTTTCGTTCTATTTTGTCTCTGTAGATATTATAATACGGTTTATGTGGTTTTGAGAAATAGATAATGTTTTTATTTTTGAATAAAATACAAATTTGAAAATATCATAAGATTGAAAATAAATATATCAATATTAGTATCAAATTAACTATTTAATAGTTCTAGTTTTTTGGTGTAATTTATTTAATTCAATTTTTTATTATTATTTAATTTAGATTTAATAACAAAGTAATTTATTTTTGGTTTAACAATACAATTTTTTATAAAGATAATGATTAAATATTCTGTTAGAACTCAATGATTATCTTAATAATATTTTAGATTTTCTATATTTAAAATAAATGTTTATATTGTATTTGATTATATTTATATGCAGTTAGTTACATTAATTTAAAAATAGAGCTTTAATAAGTTGTAATTATACAAAATTACTTCTAATCTTGAATTTTAAGTAATATACGTAAATAAACAATACTTTATGTGTAAAAATGATTTTTAAGAATTTTTATTAAACATTTTATAATATAATATAGATAGATGATGCTATTAAGAATTAAGATATATTTTATTGTATTTTAAATATTAAGATAAGAAAATAATTTTTTTGGTAACGGAGGATAATTCCAAGGTCAGTTTTTCCGGAAGCATCTAGATGCTACGCACTTGTTCTATCCCCATCCCTAGTTATAAATACTCCACGGAACCCGTTTGCACTTTCCATATTGCCAGACGGGAGCTAACGATCCTTTTCCAACAATTCCATTTTCCATTACAAACTGCAAAGATCAGCAAAGATGAGGTAACAATTCTGTTCGCTTTTTGTATTTTCTTCTTAGATTATGCTAATTTGCTACATTCGATTTAATGCATAAAGATTGATTCATTCACTTATCTGTATTCATCTGAAATCAAATTGTAGAATTACTGTTTATCTGATGATTCGATGTGCCATGGCTTGTGCATTACTATAATTTAAGCAGGCTGTTTTGGATTGACGATGTTTTTGCTGATTTTACCGAATTTTCGTTTGTTTAGTAATCTAGATCACTGGAGATTTCGTCGATAAATCGCGGTTCGATTTTAGGGTTTTAATGGGTTTCTTCGTTCTAATGGGACTCGATGAATTTGATTAATCATGGTTATGATCATCCATGAATGCTTGTTTACAGCAAAAATAAATAAATTAATCATGTTGTTAGGAGCATTATTGCAGATAAAACTTGTGGCCTGATTTAGGGTTTTATTGTTAGTTTATTGCGTGCTCTTTTTGTGATCATCGCATCTCTGCCAAAAAACCATCTCTAGCATCCCTCTCCTAACTCTTATCACTGATTCAATGCTCGTTTACGATGCTCTAATTTATGTTTTATGTTTTGGGATTCTACGTTGTTCTTGATGAGTTTTTATTTTCTATTTCTTCCTTACACTTACGGTGTGTTTGGGATTTGCTTATTTGAAATAACTTATGCTTTTCTAAAAAACACTTATCAACTTATTATAAGTTACAATGATTTAACTTCTTCAAAAACTCCTTATTATCAGTTTGGCACAGGTATAAGTTGCTTATCCAAACATTCAAAAGTGTTATAAGTTGCTTATCCGAACACTCAAAAGTGTTTATTACCGATGTCACACCGGAATAAGTCAATAAGTTGTTTTTATAAGCAATCCCAAACACCCCCTTATACAGCTTTAGACTGGATGGAAAAGTTAACCACAATTTTTTTTGTAAACCAGAATCTCACAAGCCTGAGCTATATTTTTAGGTGCTCATGGTTTTCCAAGGTGGTTGATTTGCGAATGGAAAACATTCGGTCTTAATAATACTGAGGTTTATAATACTAAATTGGATAGTATTGTTGAACTTGTGATTTGTTGTCAAACAAAAGTAACCAACACTCTTTCTGATACTAAATTGGATAGTATTGTTGGAACCCTGTTTTCGGTGTCAACGGAATCGTTAAAGGCTGTGCTTTATCCTGTTGACCCCAAGAACTTGCAACTGAAGTTGGATATATTGTTGGTATATGTTACCCTTTCTAATCTAGTTTTGTTTCTGGGCATTTGTTAGCCGACATCCTACTTTGAAGTGGGCGCAGAGGGCTGATGTGCTTTTCATCACTATCGATCTGCCCGATGCCAAAGATGTGAAGCTTAAACTGGAGCCTGAGGGTAAATTTTACTTCTCTGCAACTGCAGGAGCTGACAGTTTACCGTATGAAATAGACATCAACCTTCACGATAAGGTGGATGTGAATGTAAGTAGTCTGTGAATAGTCTTTTACACCTGTTTGTATTGGGAGCGAAATGATAAAGATTGGAAATTGCAGGAGAGCAAGGCGAGTGTAGGGTCGAGGAACATTGTTTACCTTATAAAGAAGGAAGAAAGTAAATGGTGGAACAGACTTTTGAAGCAAGAGGGAAAAACTCCGATGTTTGTGAAAGTTGATTGGGATAAATGGGTAGATGAAGATGAGCAGGACGAAAAGGGTTAGTTGGTTTTTTATCGTCTCTTTGTTCACAATTACATGCATTTAGTACGCAGGACATAACAAAAACTCGTTTGGTATGACATTTAGACTCGGTAGGACATGATAGATGGGCAAACATTGGTAAATTACTAAATTATCCCTGGAAAATTAAAACCCTAGAACCTGCCACAATTCTTCTTTCATATGCTTATGGTTGTTTGGTCTGAGTAAACAAATGGATCCTAATAGGATTACAATTGAAGCAAAATAGCTGCTTATCATGATATGGTAACATGGTTTTGATTATGCAGCTGGTGCTGATATGGACTTTGGCGATGTCGATTTCTCAGTAAGTACCAACTTGCATTAGTTGTGGAAGTGATTGCAATTCATCTAATCTAACATGGGGTGTTGTGTGACTTGTAGAGTCTTAACATGGGAGGCGGAGGAGACTTTGATGCAGATGGTGTTGATGGAGGTAATGCAAGCGTTCTAATAACCGACTGATTTTGATTTCTTTGTTTGAAACTGTATTTAGAAAGATTGTTTCATTTCATTTGCAGCAGATGATAGTGACATGGAAGAGGAAAGTATTGGGAAGAAGGAAGGTGCACCACCTGTTAGTAATGAAGTTGAAGCCATGGCTTGATTTGATTTTTGATCCCAACTATGTGGTTTTCTAGTAGCATTTATAGATTAAAGGGTTGGATTGGGTTGTTGACTGAAACTAATTAATTAATCTTGAAATATATGTTGGTGCTACCGCAAGTTAAAACTTGTCAAATGGTTGATGAATTCACGAAGCCTTCTTTCTTTCGACACCCAATTTGTGTTGTAGAATGACAGACCATACATAATGAAGAAACACTTGCATTTCTGTCATTCAGTAAGTTGTAAGCACAAAAATCCAAGAGATTCGACTAAAGATCCAAAATTACACATTCACACACCAATAGAAGAAACAAGTTGAATTTATGGATTTCTGGTCTCTGGCAGCAGCAGTTCAGGAGGAGGACGCAAAGTGCATACCATCTCCTTTGTTTTCCCAAAGTACACCTAAAATTGCACACAACAACTCAGTACTATCTCACTGCCATAAAAATCCTAGGAATAGCAATTGTTTTCAAAGCTGGTGTTTGGTTCGAGTGATTTATATTTTGTGGAAAGATGAATCTTTAATGTAGAATCTGGAAGGAATACCGTAATTTATATATCAACTACCCCAATGTTAGTCAGATTTCAATTCGGACAATTACCCCAATGTTAGTCAGATTTCAATTCGGACTTTACTTTAAACCAACACGGGGTTGGAATGGATTCATGCGCCAGATGAACTATTTAGTTTTTCAGTTTTCAGGAGAATACCTGGTCAAGTTGATTCCTCAGTTTTCCCTCCAATTCTTCTATCATCTTTCCCATATTGCACAGATGACCCTCTTCAACAGAGAGGTCTGCTTTCATCTACAGATTAAACAACAGCTATTGCATTAACCACAATTGCACAGCTTCTTTTATGCATAATTAATATCCCCCTTGATGTTATACGAGTGGAGCTACTTTGTTAGAGTTAGCTTAAAAAGGTGAGAAGAGTGTGAGTATTTGCCGAATATAAATATTATATATATGTTAGAAAAACATGTAAGCTTAAATTAAATTAGCCTAGCCAGACTACAACTACAGTAACTGTCACTTGTCTAGGAAGGCTAACAGAAGTTGGATATGGCTTTGTCTTCTGCAACATTTTATTTCAATAGTGATTATGATGTCAAAATGGTAAAAGGTAGAGCACTCGGTTTGATTGATCAAAACAACTCTTTCATTGCTTTAAAATATCTTTGAGAGGTTGAATCAATGCTAAGAAAACCTGTGAACATGAAGGCTATAGAAGTTATATTGTTACCAGTAGGATTATGCACCATTATAAACTAGCTGGAGTGCAAAAGATATGAAGAAGAAATTTGAAACGACCCTTCACTGTGTCTTTATTTAAGTTAGAAGAGAACAGATGTGAAAGTAGGAAAACCTCGGTCTATGGCTAATATAGACCTGAAACTGGCAGCAGCAAGTAAAAAATCATGGGAAAGAAATTCCAAGAATAAGAACAGGGTCCTTCCTTCTTTTGCATGATTCAGTATGTCCTGTATGCGTTCTATTTTTCTTTAAGTTGGAAGTTTATAATGCTAATAAAGGTGCATGCATCACGAGGGACATGATAGTGAACAAAATTTAAGGACCTAACACTAGAAGACTCTGTCCATTATAACAATATGCACTGATCATATGGTCATATATTTTAGTATGTGGTGTCTAGCTTTAATTCTAGTTACATTTGAGTTGGATGGCTAGCACATAAAATTCATTTATAAACGGAAAGGTTAGTAATATCTCAATTTAGCATCATATCCGAGTTACCTGTCTCCTAATTGATCCTGACAAACTAAACGTGCCGGATGTCTCACTATTTGTAGTCAATGACAGCATTATAGTACTTGTTAGACAGTAATGAGCCATTCCTTCCTCTTCTGGCCCAACCTGAACAATATGAGAGCAATTGCAGTGCCATAAGAAGTTGGAGACAGAGAGAGAGAGAGGATTAAGCTTATCAGTAACTAAAAAATAATACCTGGATAACATGTATAGCATCCCACCCACCCTCATGGAGATAACCTCGTCTACCATGTCCATATTTTGATCCATCTTCATAGTAAAGATATATTGCAAATTAGTTAACATAAAACAAATCATAAACAAACTAATTCACACTAAATTAAACCTTTTTTAATCAAGAAGCAAGCTACGAAGCCTTCGTTGTCATCCTCCTCCCACAAATAGACTGATGAGATACCGCCTTCATAATATCTAACAACAGATAGATGAACAATGAAAGCAAACCAATTACCCAAATTAGTTGCGGTAGGCCAGATTTAATGCATTAGAGATTATAAATAGTTGATATATGAACAATGACAACAAGCCGTTTACCCAAATTAGATGGGATTAGGCCAAAACTGAAACCTACAGAAATTATAAATGCATGAACCCTTTACATATCCAACATGAATGTCCCTTCATTTCACCTATACAAGGCCAACTTTCTTGGCATATCAACTTGCTACTTTCAATGTCAATCTTGGCTGACATCTACCACGCTAACAAGACTCCTCTTGGTACTAGTTTCATCTAACTGGTACAAGTCTCGATCAGTATTACCACAGCTTCTCAAGTCTCAACCTATGCCACCCAAGTTCTCCTTTATCATAAGTTTACTTCTATCATTCATTATGGTGACATTTCTCAAAGGACCAGAAGGCACAATAGGTAAATAACGACCTTCCTAATAAAAAAATTGGCTAATCCAACGAGAACAGTCCATGGATATCCAAAGCCGGATGACAAGAATTCTCCAAGTAAAAACAGAAAATCAACAATGATGAATTCAAATTTAAGACGAGGTGAGTAAAGGACCTCACTGGTCACGATATACTGTGAATACTTCATTTGCCTCAACTTCTAGTGTTCTCAATTCAGACGATGGGTACATCCCGTCTTCCAAAGGAGGATGGTACTTATTTGACCAAGGTGATCTGCAACCAAAAACATAAGGGATGGAAAGTAATGTGATAATATCAAGGAGTTAATGGAGGTCCTAAGAGCAACTGATGGTGAATATTTGAATTGTTGTGCCTCAAGAAGCATAAACAGAGGGTTCTGTCTTTACGTTGACCTACACCATTCTTACTAGTGGATATTCCAAACCCCTCCTTTCAAATATATAATAAGATGTGATGCAAATAAAAACTTGGAAAGGCACATGAGGGGCAACAAACTATGATGAGAATCATCATTACTTTAATACAATAGGAAGCAATATGGTTACCTGTAAGAGTCGGCATCTCTGTTGTACTCGCACAAAATGAATTCTTTCCCATTGTCCACATCACATACAACCTGTTTTGCACAGTAACAAGAGCAAGTGAAGTTGCGGACATGACAACAATCATATGCACTCTAAAGATGCATCCACAGAAGATAAGACGATACAGTATGCAACAATCTCAGCATTGATGCATATTTATGGCAGAAAGCATATTGGACAGGACAAATCAATAATGAAATTTTAATTTCATAATGTACTTTATCCTAATGACCTTAAGTATTTTCCTTTACAAATGCAGCATATTCTGTAGGTCCAAATTTTTTTCCATTCTTTCTGTAGCCAAATCAAAAGGAAGGCAGGGAGAAGCAGCAGCACTTCCTTTTGTGTTTGGTGAAGCATGATTATGGAGGTCAGCACTTGGCACAAAATTTGATACCATCCAGTTCCAAGGAATTAGAAAGGTAGTTGCAAGCAATCTTTTCGCAAACACACATATAAAAGGTCGACGATTATGGTGAAGGCCACAAAAAGAAGCTAAATGTAAACAAGTACTGAGATCTCAAGCTAAGAAAGTTAGTGAAGAGATATCTGGCATTTAGGCACAATCCACAGTTACATACGCTGGGAGGTTGCTATTGATGATACCATCATCTGCCATATGTTGCTTAGTTATTAGATCTCGATTTGACTACTGTCACAAATGTTCTGTTTGGTCTCTACAATTGCACCGTCTATGAGTCTATCTTTCATTTGAAGCCCGGATAACCTGGCCACCATCATCTCTAACCTATTCCGATTTCCATCCAAAATGATAATTTCGTACTTAATCATTCGATAAGATAACAGCGGAGGAAATATGAATACCTGACGAAACTGAATCCTAGTCAGATTTCTAGCCCTAGTTCTGAACTTGAAATAGAGTTCAACAAGATGGACAAGAACTATAACACAAAAAGCGGATTCACACACACAAACCAATCCAGTAACCGTAACAGAAGTTCAAGTCCATCAATGGAATAAACATACATAAAATACTACTATATACATAAGAGTATACAAGTTAGGGTTTACAGAAAGTTGTAAACCTGAAGAGGCTGATCAACTTGAGAGAGCAGATCGGAGGAGTGGTGTGGCAAGAGGCTGAGGAGGGCGGAGAGAGCCGTCTCTGTGTGTTTTGGAGGCATCCTTCTCATCAATCCCATTGCTGCCTCCATTTTCACAAGAAAGTGGGAAAAACGCTTGATCTGAAGATTTCCCTCTCAAGAAACCACCATATATTATCTGGCCGGCATTCATTTGAATCTTTTAATTGTACATTTATCTATTAATTATTATGTGGTCCCTTGACTACTCATTTTTTACTTTTTAGTCCTCTTAGCTTTTATTTTACATTTTCGATAGTCCTTGAACAAATCTATTTTAGCATTTTTCACCCCTCAACTTTTACGCTCAAAAGGGAGGCGCAACAATAATAAGTGTTTTTTTTATTTAATATTTTATCAAGTATAATGGTTAGTTTGTATGAAGCTTAAATTTCATGATGATAATTATTGTTTATTAACGGCTGTTTATTAATTGTCTAGTGAATAAGTAGAGTCATCTATTAGCATGTTAAATATGAGATTTTGAACGGTACCCCCAAAATTTACATGAGATTAAGGTCTTTTATCAAACTGTATAAAACTATAGCCGAAATTATTTAGGTTCAAACTACTAATTGTTTGGTTTTAGGTCCAAATTATTAATGATTTAGGTTTAGTTTCAGATTGTTAATCGTTATAGGTTTAACTCATTTTTGTTCTTAACATATACTCTGTTATCTCATTTATACAATATGACAAAAAGTTTTGAATATAGCAGGGCCTCCAAAAAGATTGGAACGTGCCTGCGGGTAAGTGCTTATTAGGAGTTGCTTACTAGGTGTCACTTATTTTGTCGGGTAAGCATATCAAGAACAAAAAACCTTACTCAATAAAAGATATAACAAAAATCGAGTATCATATCAGTCAACATGGAGATGAACATTTTTACCTAATTATAATACGATACAATGCTGCTATTTTTCTATATGTACCAAATTTATTTAATTACCGTATTAACAAGATAACATGATACAATTATTTTAAAAAATATTTTTTTAATGAATATTGTATATACTAATTATTGTAATTTTGTTGAGTAGTATACAGGGTTTGGTGATGATGATGTTGAACTGTTGATTGCTAAGCATGAAAGAAATTTGGAAATTCAAAACCAACGATGCTTTATATAATGATGTTGATTGCTTGCTTTCAAAGAGATTCAAAAGCCAACCCGATATTATGTTATTTTAATTAATTTATATTAATTAAATCAAATATTATTAAAGATTTTTTTAGTATATGAAAAATAAATTTAATAATATCTAGATATCGTAAAATATATAATTTTTAATTTTCTTTTCTAATAATAATAATAATATATCTATATTATATTATAATGTATTTGACAAAAACTATTAAAAACCATTTTTATGACGTGGTCCCTCAAGGTCCAATTAAGGGTTTTATTGAGATTTTTATGGTTGAATTAATTACAATTTTCAAAATAAAAGTCCAGTTAAAGATTATGTTCCAACATAGATATTGTTCTGGTTCATATTCACTTAAAGCAGTTCTTATCCTCGAGAACCAATTACGGCCTAAAAGTTGGCTAACGACTTATTTTTAGTTAATATATACAAAAATATAACCAAGCCACAACAAGAGTCAACCAAGATCGATTGGCCCTGCTGACCTCGAATGAGACCTAAATATTGATTCGTTGGATGGTTAAAAACGCATACGAGCCTTAATGACAATGTTGCTTTTCTATTCATTACAAATGTTACCTTTAAAATCAAAATCGGTTAGGATTTGCAGTAACGTTACAGCTTGAAATGTATACTACCTAACACATGCTAATACCAACCAACACATGGTTGGTGCTTTTTCTTTCCTTCAATCTTGTCAAACAAGAGACTAAAACATATCCGATCCATGTTATAAATTGTTCAAAAGATTAACTGAAAGTCAATTTCAAATTTTATATCGTGGTCCGTTTATATAAAATATTGATCTTATTCGTTTTTGAAATAGTGTGATTTGAGGTCGTTGATGATGTTTTATTGCATTATCATGTTAAAGCGTATCTACCTTGCTTAGGATAGGTTGTTTTATGTAGGTCCTGTTAGGTGGTCAGTATTATGATATTGCATGTTTTATATGTCTATGTAATATGTCAGACAGTGACATTATTAAAAAATACGTAAACCTATAAGGTTGTATACAAATAATGCGTATGCTAATGAGATCATTGGATGGTTAGAAAATATTATCATATGTTTATGACAAGGGTGGTGCCTGATTGGTTTGAGTTTGTCTCCAAAGGTCAAAAGTACCAGGAGGTTACAGGTTCAAATCCAAGTAGAAATAAAAATCCCCTTGTGGCCACGGAGGTTCAAATGCGGTGACTCCGGGCTATCTGCAAAGTAGGTGGTCGCCCTGGGATTAGTCGGCTTGCATAGCGGGTTGGATATCCAGGTTAATCAAAAAAAATATTAATATATTTTTTAGTAATTAAGGTTTTATGCATAAATATATTTATATAATTTTATTAAGTTGATTAAATTAAATAGAACTTTTTTAAAGAATCGGGTCTAATCGACTTTAATGGGAATACTCAAGGATTAAGGTAAGCTTTTCTTATGTTGGAGAGATCAGAGTTTATCTCTAATCTATGTTAACCTATGGGGCTGTTCACCCAACGCTTACTCGATAAGAGTCAACATTTTTACTTAATTTAGGATAAGATCTGGTCTAATAAAATGACATTGTATACAACTTTTTATCCGGTTTGCGTTAATCGGATAAGAGTCGTCACTCTCACTTACCGGATAAAATTCCCGGTCCTTGTCATCGCTCTTACAGAGTAAGATTTTAATCCTTTTCATGTTCATCTGATAAGGTAAAATGACTCGATGAGCACTTACCGGGTGAATGTTTAATAAACGACCTCTATATCTATGTTTTAAAGCTTAAGCCTAAAACTAATCCAAAACCCTAAAACTAATCTTAAACCCTAAAAATTTCGACCATGATAACAAAACAGAAAAATTCCATCTCTTTCTCTCTCTGTCTCGTTAAATCATATACAATCTTGAAGAATCAAGGGTTTTAGAGCTAGCACTACATTGAAGTCAAACATGATCGTGTGCAGATCAATATAAAAGAAACCTAACTTGGATTCTTGTGGTACAAACTATTTGCCTACAAACAGCGAGGTAATTTTTGAAACGCCATATGGTTTGTTAGTGGTTAACTGGTGTGTCATTGGGTTCGTTAATAGGTTTGCTCACTAGAGATCACTAGTTCAAGCCCCTTCAGGGTAACTGAAGGGTTTATCTGGCTATTAACTTCATGATCCCATTAAGATCAGTTGAGGTTGCACAGGCCCATGATTATTAAAAATGAAATGTTAATAGGCGAGTTAGATTAATTCAATTGATAAGTGTCAAAATTGTTTTATATTTTATGATCGAATCCACTACATGATACACATTTATATGGCTAAAAGAACCTACTAAATGTGTTTTATCATTCCATTATAGGTTAATATAATAGAGAGAACACACAAAAAAATGGTTGACGCACTTAAGAGGGTTGTACAGAACAAGTGGTTGAACAAATGCATAAAAGAGAAACATGCTACCTTGCCATGCAGGGGTTGCATACTAGGGTCACAAACGAGGGTCGTGCACCAGGGTCGCATATATGATATGAACTTATGATGCACAAGATGCTACCCTGATGTGCAAGGGTCGTATAATTAACTGTAGGGACTAATTTTGTCAATTTTTGAATCTTGAGCAATTTTTCCATTTTCTTGGTATAAATTGAGTTGGAAACCGCCTTTTGAAATAGAACAAGGGACGGTTTTGGGAGCAAGATAGAAGAATTGAAGCGTCTACCATCTCCATTCCGTTTTATTTAGTTGGTAACTCGTTTTTATTTTCAACAATAGTCAAGCTTTAGATTGTTGATGCATTTCATTTAAGATTCCTTTGTAAGATATTATGAACAAATTTTATTGGCTTGATTTCCATATGAACGTCATTTTCACTTGAGTTATCGATTAATATGATCATTTAGTTGATGTTCTTTTGGAAAATAACTATTTAAACCCTGGATACGTAACCGTTTAGAGATTTTGATGAAATGTCAATTGAAATCATTCGAACTCAATAAAGTTTTCGATTTGGTTTCTTGAACTCTTGCAATTAGAGTCTAATAAGACGAGCTTGTGGGCTTATTGCTTCAGATTTGTGATTTTACAAATCTTATCATTACAATTTATATTGTGATTTGGAGCAGTTAAAACTTGTTATTTGCCGATTTCAACAGCCATAAAAGATCAAGAAGAGAGCAAGTGACTACAACTTGAAAAAGGGTTACGCAGCCTCAACATGTATACAACACCACCACCACTTGATTCAATCTTCATTCCCGATTTATGGCCTAAACTTTTGCTTAACGCTTCTTCACCATTACTAGCCACCCGCAAAGGGTTTATGTGGCCTTGGCTTCTGTATCCGTCAACTTTTTTGGAACGAAACGATTAGAAGATTCTGATAATTTCTTATTCTTATTCGTGTCCGAGTTGATAATGTTTTTGGATATGAACTTGATGATTTATTGATTTGACGCTAAATTACGAAGAAGGAACCTAAAATTTGATAATGTTCTTGGTAATTGATGATGTTCGTACAACGTTATTAATAATAGGATGAAAAAGAAAGAAGAAGATGAGACAAAAAAACTAAAATACCGTCACACGGAAGGCAATTAACACAAGACAATTAAACAGGCCAAGAACGAAAGCCATAACAATGTAGAAACCATATATTTTCTTATGTACTTTTGAAAGGGGAGCTACAGAAACCAAAAATTTTCATGAACAACATGAATGATTTTGATTAGAATAAAGTTTGGTTTTCGTCACTAGCGTTTGTTTATTTTAAGGGGTGTTTGGGATTGCTTATTTTATCTGCTTATTGATTTATTTCAGTCTGACACCGGTGATAAGCTAATACCTAGTGTTTGGATAAGAAAAAAGAAAACTGCTTATACCGGTGCCAAACCGGTAATAAGCAGTTTTTGATAAGTTAATCCGTCCTGACTTATGAAAAACTGCTTATTACCAGTTTACCATTTTAACCCTATTACCCTTTATACCTATCTTTTTTCCTCCAGATAACATCGATCTCAATCTTCTCCCTTCTCCATATAACAACATCAATCTTCTCTCTGTCCTTTTTGGTCATTTTACAGATATAAGCAAAATTTGCCAAACACTAAAAAACAACTTATCAGCTTATTGCAGTTTGGTACCGCTGTAAGCTAATCCAAACACTTTTTACAAAACTCAAGTTTGATACCACATAAGTTAATAAACACTTTTACAAAAAAGCATAAGTTGTTTTAAATAAGCAATCCCAAACACCCCCTTAATGGATCCCGTCTGTAAACTTCATTTAATCAAAATTTTGCCTCTGACGTTTGTTAGTTTTTAACAAATTCGTCCCTCTGTTTAACAGACGTTAAGGTTTTCTATTAAATCCAGTTATATAAAGGGTATTTAGGTTATTTTACCCGTTTTATTAATTTTCCTTATATATATATATATATATATATATATATATTAATAATGTATTTTAATTTTATCCCTGAACCTCTCTTTTTCCTCCCACTGACCAACTTCGTCTCACCAGCCTATGTGCCGACGAACTTTAGTTTGTTTTGGTTCACGAAAATATTGGGGAGAGAAAATGGTGCGAGTAAAAACCCACCATCGTCAATAAACATCAACAACGAACTTCATCCGACCAACCAACAAACAAACCCCACCGCTCCATTTTTTATGGTGATGAACGTCCCTGATGTTTGTAATTTAATGATTATATAGTGAAGGACAATTATTTTGTTGTAGACTTAATTTGGTAGATGATCGACCGATCGTATATGAGTTAATTTGTTTAAAGTTTCTTTCCGATTGTTGTCTTACTTGTTTTTAATCACTGTATGGTTACCTTTCTATTAGTAATCATTCCGCCTTGTTTGATCAAATGATGGTCATTCCTTTTGATTCTAGATGTACACAATACATAGTGAGAAGATGACGTTTTGTCCCACTCGCTGATGGGTTGGTTGACAGTGGTGGGTTTTTTCTCAAATCAAAATAGTGGGGGGCGGTGGGTTCTGCTTGATACATGGAGAGGAAAATGAAGGGGCGATGGATTTGGTTTTTCGATTGAAGGGATAGTGAGTTTTGTTTCTATCCGACATAAATTAATTTTTTGGGGGATATGTGGGAGGAAGGGAGGGAGATCGAAAATGTTAATATTTGGGTTTCTTAACTTTATAATTGAAATGACTATAATAACCCTCATTTAATAGTAAAAACTAAGAGACTATTTGACAGTTGCCGAATGGTTTGGTACAAAATGATTAAGTGGTCAGAATGATTAAAAAACTCTCATGATATAGTGCAAAATGAAATAAAATTTTTCGACAATTGTTTACAGTGCAATTAGAACGCTGAATGATTAAGGAAGACACATGATACAAAAATCGTTCAGAAGTTTTAGAATCATTAAAAGACAGATTTTTTTTTTGCCAAATAAATTTTACCTCTTAATGGTTCTGAAACTTCTTTTTAATAAAACTATTAAGGGATAAACAAACAACTTCTAACAATACCTAAATAGTGGGATAAAATTGGTCTGAAATGGACAAAACGAGGATGGAAACCAATTAAACGAAGTTTAGGGACAAGATTTGTTAAGTGGAGAAACCTCAGGGATGAAACCAAACTTATACTTTTCTATAATTTACTTCACTCTCGAAATTTTGAGGCATTTTGGCAAGTAGCAACCTTTTAACCGGATCATTCTCTGCAACGCGTCTTCTCGCTTGCCGGCAACACTACAACAATGGTGGAAATCGTAGAAACTGAAGAAACGCCGAGGACTACCACCGCTACCGTCAAGGAAGAAGAATCACGCCCACTGTTAGATACTTCAGAGTTAAAACCACGTTCTAAATCGGTGAGGACTAAGGTCCCGGAGGTGGAGGTCCATCTTTATCGGCGCGGAGAGGGTCCGATCGACATCTTCAAGTCGAGTTTAGGTGGCTGGGATCAAGACCAGCTCGAAGTTCGAGATATATTAGACAAGTATGGGTTGAAATCGCTGTATGCTTATAATACGCAATCGGGAAGGGGCGTTCCGATCCGGTTTAACGGTAGAAATGGTCGATCTATACTACCATACAAGGATGGATCCGTAATTTTCATTGACGGAGAGCCCAAGGTACTCGACAGTTCTTTTTCCCCCAATTCTACCTTTGATTATTGATGTTTATTATATGACCAACTCCTAGCTGTTCTTGCTGCTTATTTTTCTGAAAATTGATTCTCGAAAAGTGATTACGGCAAAAAACCAGAAACTTATGCTTTCTCCAAACGCGTAATTTCTGTCTGTTTAGACCAATAATGTTATCAAACCCAATTTTGGCAACATACTTCAACGAAATTTAAATTTTGTCCAAAAGACAAAAGTGATTCTACGACTTGTTAAAATGTGATACAAAAATAGGGCAACTTTTTAGTCTGTATATGTAGAACTGGTAGTTTCTTTTTGATAGAATCTTATGTAAGCATAAAAGAAATACATAATGTGCTTCAAAATCAGGTGACAGGGATTAATTTTTTGCTTGGGTATGGTTTGGAGGAAAACTATGGTGTCACATCTAGTTAAATTCTAGACATGAAAGGGATTTTGCCCCTGTACTTGGCTGTTTTCTGCTTTTACTTTTTATTGGCCTTTCAATTTCTCTAGTTGACCATCTATAGCACACACTCCTGATTATGACAGTTAAACTCTGGACTAGCTTACCATGGTTAATCATTAAAGGCAAGGGAAATGCAGAAAATAGTACTTCAAGATACATCACTTGAACATGGCCCTCTGTTCTTCATATCTGTATTTCGGCACATTAGTCGGGAATTTTGTGAAAGGTTCCTGTAGAAGTTTCCTTATCATTTAATTCATGTTAAATGGACCTTGCCATTCCTCCTCCTCAGAAGCAGAACATGCTCCAGTTTTCCAATCTTATATTAGGCTGAAAGTTGCTTGTTCAAAACAGTCTTTATCTTCTGAAAACTAACAGTCTAAGATAGTCTCCAATATTCTGCTTCGTATCTACAGGACTATAGCATGAACGTATTCCAAGTGTATTTTGCCATGGACTTGTTGATAAGGGTCTATCTGCTATTTTTGGACTTCCATTTTGTAATCCTTGCTGTGCTCTTTGCTGGTGTCACACTGTCACCTGTACGTCATCGGGTGCAAACTTAGTCATTGGATCCCCCTTTTCCATTTTTAACATTCAATTGGAAAGCTCACAGGTTGAACTTGAGTTTGATATGATCTCTAGGTTCTATTCTACCTGAAGTCTATCCATGTACTTACACAAGTTCACCAACCAATTTGGGAGTTGGGGCCAGCAAAATGGACAACAAAGAGGGGGAGGGGGAGTGGGAGTGGGAGTGGGAGAATCAGTAAGGAGATCAGGAAGAGGAGAGGAGTCTTATGACACCTTATGATCCATCATCCATGTTTGATTAAAGTAGCCATAAGAGAAGGGATGGTGGAAAACCATATTTTCATGAAGATTTGAAGATCTTCTGCACCATTCATTCTTTATGTTTTCTGTTAAAAAATGCTTCTTCTTGGTGTATGATAAAACTTGGTCTTTCCGTTAGCTTCTTTGCTGGTTAGTTGATCTTCCCAGCAACTAAGTCTTACTGGGTTTAGTTATTAATCATGGTGCAGAAATGGAAAAACCAGCAAAGCCTAAAGGAAAAAGTGTTGTTAAGTGTAAATTGTATACGGTAAGCATCGTCATTAAGACGGTAACAAAAGATTCCGTTAAGGATACAGGCAGAATTCGTGCTAAATTTTTTATATTAAGAAAGTCGAAAACTTGTTTCTTGAATGAAGGATGGTAGATCTGAGTTCCTGCTTTGAGCTGTTGGGAGTGCTAATAAACATAAGATTTTTTATTGCAGAATTGGGTTAAAGCAGTTATAGCCCATCCCATTCATTACCCTATGTTCTACATGTTGGTAGGCTAGTTTCTGAGACCACGTTGATATGGTTGGATTTTTATCTTGGGTAGAAAGTCCAAGAGTTGAAGTGTGGGTTTACCAGCCACAATAATTCTTGTTCTATTCTTCTTCATCCATACTCATGCCTATATAGAAGTTCCTAGTAATTACTGTGAACCTAAATGAATATTAAAATTTTATCTATGATGGTCGGCTGTGATACAGTACTATTGGAGGAAGAGAGCAATAGAAAATATTAGTATGGTAATTCTATGCCAATTAGAACTCATAGATGAGGAGAAGGGGGACTCTTTAATTGTGGGTAGTCACTCATAATAGATCTTTTGTGTTTTTCTGCTTCACTTGTTTCATGTTGGTGTAAATTATTTCTCTTGTTGTTTTCCATGCTGACTTACACTTGTTTCATATTAGTGTAAAGACTCGATCAGCTTTTCATAATGATTTATATTTTATGTAAAATAATCTTTTATGATAAATATATAAATAATTATGTGAATTAATCAAAATAGAATAACAATTTTGTGTCTAATTTTTCTAAAACAAAAAGGGTTAAAATGAAAGTTTGGATTATTTAAATCTATTTTATAATATAAAATAAGTTATATATATATATATATATATATATATATATATCCACAAGGGTGGTAGCGTGGTGGATAAGGACAAGGGGATTATAAAATCAACCCGAGTTTGAATCCTGCCATCTATATGTATACTTGTGGCCACTGGGAGATTTACCTCGGTTTGTGGGCGAAGCCTACAGTCGCAATTTGCCATGGGATTAGTTTGGACGAAGTATGTGATTACCCATTTCTTTAAAAACACTACTTACGCTCCTTTTTCATGCTTCTATTCTCTTCAAAACGCCATTTTCTATAAACCTTAAACGACCCCCTCGATTTCTTTCTTTTTTCGGAAATTCTTTTCCACACCTTTATAGCAAGCCGGGGCCTTAACAGAAATCTCTCTGCTTCTCAGGGTAGAGGTGCCCCTAGACCCTACTCTGTGTGAGATTTACTGGGTTTGTTTGGTTTAGAAAAGGAGAGAGGGGGCAAGATCTTGGTCAGTAGGATAAAGTGTTATGAGACCATCAGAAAAGTTTTGGGTAGTGAAAGAATGCGTTGTCATCTTAACACAAAGTATTAAGCATCTATTGAAACAGAGGAGGCAAAAAGTAAACTTAAAAGAGAAGCTCTTAAATTTAGTGCGTGTTATGAATTTTATGCTAATCTTTCCATCCATCTACAATTAGCAAATGCAATCTACAGGTATGACATGCATTATTAATTAGTCGTGCACATACTGAATTGACTAAGCAATCTAGAGAAGGCGATCTCTTCATGCTTCATACCATATGAAGAGGCTTAATACGGATACCTAGGTTGTAAGGTTGCTTCTAGCGTGCGTCAGGGTTCTCATAGGTTATTTCCAACTGTTCTATTTTCTCTATGTGATTTGTGACATGATGACATGATGCAAGAGGGATGCATGCGGTCCATATGATGGTCATCTCATTTCCTGATACACCTATGATACTCCAATGGTGGTATCGAATAATCAGGTGTGTTTGTGTGCTCCACTGTGACTTATGTAGACTTTTTCCCCTTCATTTTGAAGCAAACATGAAAGGCTCACAAAACCTAACAATCTGAATAGCTAGTACAATATAGAGAATATTTGTCGAATAGCATGCTTAAATTAAATGCTTGTTGATCGTAAATTCTTCAGAGTTTTCTAATACAAAGATTGTGATAGAACACTCTGAGGCTACTATAACTTCATGAGTTTTACCATGTTGCCTTTGCTTCCATGGTATCAGTAGTCCCTAATAACCCTTAGTTTTGCTTCAATGGTATCACTTAATTGGCTGTGTTCTTCTTCAAAGTACCATCCGAAATCGGTTTAACTTTTAATAATTTATGCGGGTTTCAGGACTCATTGATAAAGCCAATCACCAGGATCCTAGTAGGTGTTGCAGTATTAACTGCAATGATTATACTGGTCATGAAGGAGACTCCAGGATGGGCTAAGAAGTTGAATTTCGCCGGCATTAACTTCAACGTCCCTCCATGGGTCCTAGCTTGTGTCGTTATCGTTTTCACTCGTTTGAGGAAGAGAACCCGGGATTTCTTCGCCAAACGTCATTGATTATAGTTTTCTTAAAAAAGGTTCTTGATCAGTACCATCATAATTTTACACATTTCATAAGGTGTTTGTTTCTGGACAATTTTTGTAGTTTTGCTTCAATGAATCCTTTTTGTGATAATTTGTTATGCAACAGTCTTTTTTTTATTAACCTGGATATCTAACTCGCTATGCGAGTCGACTAATCCCGGGGCAACCACCTGCTTTGCAGATAGCCTGGAGTCACCGCATTTGAACCTCCGTGGCCACAAGAGGATTTTTATTCCTTCTTGGATTTGAACCTGAGACCTCCAGGTACTTTTGACCTTTGGAGTCAAGCTCAAACCAATCAGGCACCAACCTTGTGATTAAGTCTTTGTATCAATACTCGTTGCTTCGGCTTTTTTAATGCACCTCAAGGATATAAGCTCACATTATTTGTTTCTTTTAGTATATCTTACTCGAAAACAGGGTTTGAGAGAGGATCAAATATATACATGTTGGAACAATTATATTACCTTTTTTAGAGTCCAACTTTTGTCATTTCTGGAAAAAACCGGTTACGTGATCAACGGCCCCAATCTATTGATCTGCATTCACGTTTGCAAAATTGAGAAGTTAAGAATTATCGGTGTACATAGCTTGTTTTAGGGACCGAATCCGAATTTTGAGCAAACGATGACAATATAATTCACTCTTTCTTTTACCATTTTCTCCAACTTTTTATTAAAAATATCAAGTTATAATTTTCTTTTCTGTTAATAAAGAAAGTTAATGTACAAGTTTTTAAAACCCATGTACAAACGGTTCTATAAAAGAAAATAAAAACAATATTCTAAAACTACCTTTTCCGATCTTCTTCTCCGACAAAGGGTGTCTCTGATCAAAGGGTTTTTGGTCTGGTTGTATGTGAGTCCTTGGTAGGCATGACAACGAGGCGGGGATGGGGCGGGTTTTCTAATCCCGGCCCCGGCCCGGTTTTTAGTAATAGCTTCTAGCCCCGGCCTCGGTCCCCGGCGGTCAAGCCTCGGTCAAACCCATGAAGAATATCCGTTAATTTGAGTCTACCGGGGATCCCCGGCCCTGGTTTGAGTAACATCCCCCGGCCTTGGCCCCGACCTCGACCCTGGTTTAAGTCTATCGAGGATCCTCGGCCCTGGGGCTCGTTTTAGCGGGAAATCCCCGTCCCTGTTAGGGTCGGGTGAGCTGGGTTCTCCACTGGGTCGGAGCAAATCATCATCCTTAGTCCTTAGCTTCCTAAGAGGTCAATGGTTCAAATCTCACCAAAGGTGAGAGAAATGTGTGAGTTTATTTGTCGTATATAAATATTATATGCTTTAGAAAAAATCAGTGTTTCCGTCCCTCCCCTTCTTTTTGCTTTGTTTCCCTTTATGATTACAAAAATGCAAGACATCATATTTAAGATTATTAATCATAAATAATACATGTAATAATTTCTCCCTAAAATTTTCAAAACACTTACGATTCTTATTAAAACTTTTCCCTTGTTTTTTTAACAACTATTGGATAATTTAATGTAATTATTTTTAATAATATTATAACTTCATAAAACATATTATTTATGTGATTAATTTTCCAATTTTAACAGAAAAGTAAATTCTATTAATGAGCAACCCGTTTTTATACGTCAAAGATCTTACCATTTTCAAAGTAATCGGAGTCCATTCAAGAGTTCTCCCATTAAAGCAAGTCTACTTTTCATGACCACGTGGTATATCAAATTTAAATTAAAAAAAGTACCCAACATTGTGTTGGAATTAATTGTGTTAATATAATGATTCCTCCACCTTTAGTTTCACTTTCGGTATTCACAGATATCCCAAACATATACATGTAAAAAGTACAACTTATGTCGTAATGATGTTATTGATCTTAAATAATCATAAATGATAGATTGATATCGTAAATAAGATCATAATTTAGACAAAAACCGAAAGCGATCATACGTGATCGAAGGAAAAATCTAAAGTGATTTTATTTTGGTTGAATTATTATCCTTTTTGGATATTGACCACTTCAATGTCTCTTACAAAGGGAACCAATCATGTTGTTTAAGAATTTTAATATTTACGATAACAACAAATGTATCTATGCAACATAATAAGATATATCTTGATTATGAAGACGAGAATTTAAACTATTAATCATTTTTTTATCCATTTCGAGTTTATGGGTTTGGGCGGTTTTTTGAGAACGTTAAAGTCGTCGAGTGGTTATCGGTTTTATGAAGTATTTTTTCGTATTAGTAGGATTCAACATTTATCTTGTATTGAACGTATTTGCCGGTTAGTTTTATGGAATTTAAAGGTTGAGTTTTAAAAAGTTGTATACATAATGCAATAATAAATTGAATGATTCAACTAATGTCAAAATGGGTTCTATAAAGTGAATGGATTAGAAAGAATGAAGAAGTAAGGAAATGAAACCACTTTCAAACATATTATATATATATATATATATATATATATATATATATATAAACTTGAGATCATGTAAGATAAGTTTGTTTTCATAAGACACGATTTTTTAATTTTCACAGTGTTTTTGCTGTGAAGGTTCGACTTCTTTTTACCTTCACAGCGTTTAGCTGTGAAGTTTCAAGTGTAAAAAAATGGTCTCACAAAAACATGTTGGTCTCACGTGAAACCAATCCTAAAGCACCCGTAAACAAAGATGTATGATCACTTGAATTAGTTAGGATCTTTAGAAAGACAATATTTTGTTGAAAAGAAAATTGAATGTAATGATTACATTTATTATTCGTAATTTAATTATGTTGTCGTGTTATTGGAGAAAACTTATATTCTTTAAACATACTTAGAAACTTTTCCACTTAATTTAGGTCAACAATTTCGGTAATCAGGTATATGCACATTAATGAACTTTACCATCGCTGCTCTCAAATCACAACTTGACCACCATCAATCCGGTCATTGGTCGGAACCCCGTCATGTGATCAATCTTGTAAGAGATTTATGGCGGATCAACAACCGATCGTTAATGAAAATTTCATATGAATTTTTCGAGGACAAGATCACACATCAACAATCTGTCGAAAATGTAAAAGTTTATGGATAGATCACCAACAATGACCAAACAAAATAAAAAAATGGGAAATCAAAAATAAAATAAAAATAGCCGCCGGTGATCACCGAAGGATCACTGTAGAAAGTTTTTTTTTTTTTAGTTTTTTGGATACGATTTTCAAAATCCATCAGAGATACTTCGGTAATCAATAATGACCATTGGTTTTTTAGTTTTCCCTTTTTTTTATTTCAAATTTGATAGCCCATTTTCATATAACTTTGTAAAAGGAATTGGTTTACAACTAGCACAATCAACAACGAACGAAGATAATAACCGATGAACACAAGTGCCCAAAGCATGATCGACGATCCAACAAATGGAATGTTTGAATAGGGGAGCCATACGTTCAACTGAAAATAACTGTATTCTTTTAGGAATCCATATGAAATGGAGTAGGATGTGTGTTTCAAAAATTTACCAGTACTAGCAGTAACCCTTTGATTCATATATGAATCTAAGCCAACGAACTCAGATCATGGTCTCTATCACAAATGCTCTGATTCTAAATGACGTCAAAGCCAAAGGAAGAGATCTAGCCTCTTTCTTCCCAAATGCTGATACGGTCTCCAACTCCCTAGAAGAGAGAAATAGTAGCTTGTGAAATATAGAGAAAAAGAATTGATCCGGATGGATAATTCTTGCATCTAGCACATCCATTGTCTGGTGATTCAGCTAATCAACAAACTGTATGATCATTATCAGTGTACATATTTATGTCCTTTTGTTCATGATATCTAGATTGAACACGAGGCATGGATGTGTCATTCTTGTTATATCTGATCTTTAGTTTGTTGATTTCAGAATATACTGATAAGACATATATCAATATATTATATTGACTATCTAAGCATGCATGCATTTACTCAGTACTAGGAAAATTAACCAAAATGACCATTTTATACACTTTACATCAACAAAATGACCACTTTTCAGAGGAACGTTGTTGGTATGAATCAACAACAAACTAGATTTGGACAACAATCATTGGCATTCAATGCTAAAACTGATGTAAAACGAAATTCCTACAATATCTCTCCTAAGTCTAATCAAAGAGATCAACCATATTGTAGTCATTGTCGTATGCATGGACATGTCAAAGAGAAGTGTTACAAGTTGCATAGGCATCTAATCGGGTATAAACCCAAGCAGAGAGTGAACAACGTCTTTACTGATGAAAGAAGTGTTACAGATTCTTCTTTTGCTGATCATCTTAACAGTACAATCAAAGGTGTGACTTCTGTTCAATGTCCGTAACTAGTGGTAAATCACATGGTTTTACCCTTTATGCACTCGTAATAATACTAGACCGTGCCATTGGTTCAAAAATCAAAACATAAATCCTAAATAATACAAACCCCTTTTAGGTCCAAGCCAAAATCTTCTGAATCTATGTAAATCAACGTTTTATTGTTCCTTATCATGGATACCCAGCAGGAAACTAATCTTTTGAATAAATGTAAATCAAAAACCTAAATAACATCAAAATCAAAATCTAGTCGAAGCTATCAAATGTAAATCGAAACCGCGACTTTTAAATTTGTATAAATCAAAAACCTAAAATCAACATCGATCAAAATTGAAGCTTTTCAATTTTCAAAACCCAAATTAAAAGATCGTCCGAGGAAGATGAGAAGATGTTGATAGTGGCCGGTGTTGATCGTAGTTGAGGACGATGGGATTCGCTGCAGGTGGCGGTCGGGGTTGTCATCACCTAAGATTTAATTAATTTATAATTTTTCACATCAAATTAAAATGACCAGTTACCTATTCAACCGGTCAATCACGTCTTTAAAGAAATGTAAACTTTGGTACGAAATCATCTGGTTTGTTCGCACTTGACATTAACATGGGATTTCGTCTTCTTTCAAGGAAGGTGGTATGAAAAGATCCCAACATATATTATATAAGAATATATATATATATATATATATATATATATATATATATATGGTATATTTGAAATGCAATCATGTCCATTTGTACAACCAATGCAATCCAATTAATTGAGACATTTATAGAAATGATTTGAGTTTATTTA